AGCAGTGTGCAGACAAAAAGACTGACTTCTGAGTCATCACTGACTGATTCTCCATTCCTTTCCAGCATTGATGAATCCTTTGCCTGAGAGCAGGGGTATCTGCGTTCCCCGCACGGGGCTGGGGTTCATCCTGGGCCTTGGAGTGGGAGTTTGCGCCACTCACCACTAAGTGGGCTTGTGAGCTGGCTGGCAGTGCTCTTGGGAATTGGCTGGGTGGGTTGTAGGAGGAGGAGGCTTTGTCCCCTTCCTTCTTCTCCCTATTCCAGGTGGGAAGGTAAAAATGGATGAGCAAAGGGAGGCTCTGTTTTCCTTTCTCCCAGGTGTGGCTCTGCCAAAATGAACAATTCCTAAACACCTGCCAGGGTTGGGGAGCAGAGACCTGGGTCCCCAGTTCTGGGTGGAAAGGCTCTGGGCAGCTTCTGTAGGAATAAAGACTCAGTACAAATGAGGGTCTGGTTCTTCATTCTGACTCTTACTAGCTGTGTGATCTTCGGCAGCTTACTTTATGCTGCTGGCTTCTCCTTCTTTAACTCTAAAGTCAGGTCCTTTCAACTGTAAAATGCAACGCCAACCTTGGCATCTCACTCCTGATCTGAGGTTAACTCCCCTTCCCAATTCCTCTACTCCTGGACTATCAGGTATTCCTGACACAGGTGTGCTGGGATTTTAATGGTAAGCTTGTAAGGAGAGAGGAGGAAACTGGACTATTTAGGGCAGGGATTCAAAGGTGCAATGCAAATTTAGGACTGCCCCTAAAAAAGGGCATCCAACAGCCAGAGTCCCTTGATTTAAAGCTCCGAGGACCAATCTGTGTTGCACCCATGTCAAGGGGCCTGACCTGGTGACCCAAGCAGGCATCCGGATCCCACAGATGAAGGGAACACCGCTGTGGGATATGAGACCATGGTGATCCCACATCGGTCCATCTTCACTCAAACAGGCTTCTCCAGGAGATGCTGGGTGCAGGTGTCAGCACTCAGGCTTCACCCAGTTTCGATGAGGGAACGAGGAGAAAGGGACTGGGAAGTGGAGTGTCGTGAGGAAACTGAGCAGAGGGGACGGTCTGGCTGCAAGCCAGGATCTCAGCCACATGATTCAGCCGCACAACCTCAGCCTTTCCTAAAGATGCCTCGTGTGCTACTCGTGGATGGGGTTGTGAGGGGATTTTAGAAACCTACTTAAAATATAGTTATTACAAAAGTATGGGGGAACAATGCAGGCGTTAGAACTGGGCTGAACTTTGAAAGATGCCGTGTTGTCTCATGGAACCTCCCTCACAAGCTTCTAGGGTTTCAGGAATTTTTGGCTTAGGATCTTGCAGGGCTCTTTAGTTCATCTGGAATTAGATCCCAGTCTGGCCTCAAGTCCACGTCCTTTGGATTGCACCAGGTGGCCTGGGGGTGCAGGTGGCTGGGGCCCTCATTCCCCCAAGACACAGGGATGAGAGCAGAAGGTCCATGCAGGGACCGCCACCCAGCCAGGTTTGGGTCTAACAGGTATGGGGATGAGAGGGCCAAGCAACACACAGCTAGAGACTCTGGAGTCCTTCCAGCTTCCTTGGAGCTGGTAGGAAGCTTCCAGCACCACACCCCTTTACTCAATCCTGCCTTATTCTTGGATCCTAAACCCTGGTCTCCACGTTTGAGTTCCTGCTTCCCGCCGCTCCGGCTTCCCAGTGCCGACTGCCCAGCTAACGAGCCCTTGTGTGCTGAAACAGAGTCCCTGGTCATCTGTCCCAGCTGCCCACCTGCAGGGCAGTGCTGGCCCTTCTTGGAGATGACTCTAGAAGCTTCCTGGAGAGAACTCATGCTCCCTAGGGCCAGCTGGCCTTCAGCCCATGGCCTTCCAAGTCAGACGCTTCTTTGCTCGATTATGCCCATTTCTGACCCAGCAAACAAATCCTAAGTAGTTACACAAATGCTCAAAACTCCCAGAAGAACAAACTTTCTCTTCAATATTTTATCCAATAGACCCAACGATTACCTCTGAGGTTAAATAGAAAAACTGCGGCGTAGGAAGTGGAAAGTAACATAAGTAGCAGCAGGAATAGGGTGCAGAATTATTTCTCATTTGCATTTGTTTGTCTCTTGTGGCTCTTCTGTTTTTCACTGTGTTTGGATCTCTGGGAATACATTTTTCAAATTGCATGTTAATTACTGCATTTGTGGCTTCCGTAGTATCAGACACTTTCAGGAAATATTACAGTTATAATTTCTAGATTAATAAAACTGGAGACAAAGTTGACCCAGTAGACATAATTTACTGTACTTTTCAGAAAGCTTCTGATAAGGTCTTTCCTAAAAGGCTATTAAGGAAAATAAACAGCCATAAGGTAGAAAGCAAAGTCTTGTAAATTACAGCATCCAAAGGAACTGAACCAGGTGAAGAGAGTCACAGAGCTTGCTTGTATTTTGTTGTTTACCTAAAATATGTAGGCAACTGGTAGTGAAGATTTTTAAAAAATACCCCTCGAGTTTCCATCAAGTTTGATTGCCTTTGAAATTGTCAGGCCCCTGTAGAGAAATAAACACAGCAAAGGCTTTGAGGACTGCTCAGTACAAAAAGGTGCAGCTGTCTATGAAGTATGGACGACGCTTGGGGGATAGGGCCAGTGAGAAAACACACACACACACACACACACACACACCTACCTGCGCACACACATGGTGAAGATGCCCCAGTCTGGGCTCGGAGGTCTGATTTATTTGGATTTTTTGTAAAGCTCTAGATAAAATCCCTCAGGAAAACAGTACAGTGAAGGAAAAGATGAGCACATGCACAGAAGAAAAAGTGAACACCAGGCCCAGAAAATAGACAAGGCGGCCCTAGGGGAGACCTGGGAGCTCCCTGCTTGTTCACACCCCTGTCGGTGCAGGGAGCAGGGCTGAGTCTGAGTCTCCAGAACAACATGGGAGAAAGACCAGCTCCCCTTAGCATGTCTATATTGTAGGGTGATTTATAATGATCTCTATGCAGATTTTTTGGACAGTCTGCTTTTCACTGAAATGGCGATGATCTTGGTAAAGGAACTCTTACTGTCTATCTGTTTCTTTTGAATTCTGTCCTGAAAGGCACAGCCTGGCTACCAGTTGACTCCATGGGCGCCTGGGTCAGGAGGTGACCACACAGCTCAGGTGGACTAATCCCCTTTCCTCACCCCATGGTGGATGCAGACCCAGCACTCGTGAAGGCTTCAGGGGAGGAAGAGGGAGCATGAGCTGAACTGTTAGGTGCAGACCCGTCACCCATGGGGCTGTGACCAGAACCCTCCGGAACTCACCATCTTGGTTTTTTTCACCTATAAATGGAAGTTCTTGTCAACGTATATCTCACACGAATCACAGGACAAAGCTTAACTAATGCTTTCATATAACGATGTGGAAGCAGTTTTTAAAGGCAGACCATTACATTAAAGTGGTATGTCAGTGTAGTCAATGCAGAAAAAGGCCATTCTACGTAAAATTCTTAATTTAATAGTGATAATGCCTAACATTTGCTGTGCACCAGGTACAGCTTGTGTGCAATGCATATTTGATCCTGAATAATCCTCACAGAGACTTTCACAAAACCCCACTGGACACACAAGGACACTGAGGCACAGAGAGGCTGAGGAATGGGCCAAGCCCATGGAGCTGACTAGCAGAGCCAGGATCTTAACCGCAACAGCCAAATTCTGAGGCCCATCGGCTCACCCTCCATCCCACCATATTTATGTAATTTCATACAATATGGTGTGTACATAGCTATGCCATAGGAGCGAACATGATTGAAGCACCTACTTGTACTTAGTACAAACCCCTTGGCATGCACTGCATCTTTTATTTTTTTTTGAGATGGAGTTTCACTCTTGTTACCTAGGCTGGAGTACAGTGGTGTGATCTCGGCTCACTGCAACTTCCACCTCCCAGGTTCAAACAATTCTCCTGCCTCAGCCTCCTGAGTAGCTGGGATTGTAGGCACCCGCCACCACACCTGGCTCATTTTTTGTATTTTTAGTAGAAGCAGGGTTTCGCCATGTTGGGCAGGCTGGTCTCCAACTCCTGACCTCAGGTGATCCGCCCGCCTCAGCCTCCCAAAGCGCTGGGATTACAGGAGTGAGCCACTGAGCCCAGCTGCATCTTTTAATCATCATCCAACTCAGTGAAGTCAGTGCAATCACCATCCTCACTGAAAACAATGCAGCATCTGTATAGATAGTTCTGGTGCAAGACATTTCTTTTCCTTAGGTAGGTCAACCATTGCCCTCTGCAGATACCCGGAGACTGCTTCCTTTCCCTTGTGCGGCCACAGAACCCAGTGGTGGGTTTTGCCTTCTTCGCAGTCCAAAGAGCTGATCCAAGTAGCTCATTGCTCAGGACACTGGCCCAGGCTTTTTCAAGGTGACATCCAGAACCAGGTTGAGCACAAGAGGAAGCTGGCCCAATGACAAGGGACCCGTCACACTGGGGACCGTCCTCACCACTGGAGAGTTTCTTTTTTTTTTTTTTTTTTTTTTTGAGACGGAGTCTCACTCTGTCGCCCAGGCTGGAGTGCAGTGTCGTGATCTCTGCTCACTGCAAGCTCCGCCTCCCGAGTTCACGCCGTTCTCCCGCCTCAGCCTCCGAGTAGCTAGGACTACAGGCGCCCGCCACCACGCCCGGCTAGTTTTTTGTATTTTTAGTAGAGACCGGGTTTCACCATGTTAGCCAGGATGGTCTCGATCTCCTGACCTCGTGATCCACCCGCCTCGGCCTCCCAAAGTGCTGGGATTACAGGCTTGAGCCACCGCGCACGGCTCACCATTGGAGAGTTTCTAACTCATCTTTGTCAACCTGTGTTTGTTTTGTTTTCAGAAGAATGTTAGCTGGGGCCCTGAGCACACCATTGAGTGACTGAGTGACTCGGAGGGTTCTGAAATTCTAACCTTATGCTCATGCACATGAAAATGGTATATATATATATATATACACACACACACACACATATATGTTGCTAATCGTCCATAAAACTTAATTTTGCAGAGCTGCCCTCTCCTTACACATTTGGGGTTTTCTGTGAATAAGCCTGCTGGTCGAATCTAGTGAAATAACACGAATGCCCTTGGCCAACCCCTGAGTCGAATTGTACAGGCCTTGGTACAGGTAAGCCTCTCAAAGAGCTGTCCTCTTCAGTCTTCTTACTCACCTTCCATCCTCTCAATCTAAAGCATGGATCGGCCTGCCCCAGTGGCTCATGTCTGTAATCCCAGCACTTTGAGAGAATGAGGCCAGAAGAGCATTGAAGCCAAGAGTTTCAAACCAGGCGGTTCAAAGGGGAGCAAATTGAGACTCTCTCTCTCTGTCTCTCTGTCTGTCTCTCTCTCTCGCTGTCTCTCTGTCTCTCTGCCTCTCTCTCTCTCTATATATATATACATATATATATATATATATATGTACATATAAGATCAGCCAGGCATGGTGGCACACACTTGTAGTCCCAGCTACTTGGGAGGCCGAGGCAGGAGGATTGCTTGAGTCTGGGAGGTTGAGGCTGCAGTAAGCTATGATCACACCACTGCACTCCAGCCTGGGTGACACAGTGAGACTCTGTCTCAAAATAAATAAATAAATAAGGATAAATATCTCACATGGTCACATGTTCATGACTGAGATTGTTAAATACTAAAATGATTCAGTTGCTTGAAAGCTGCAGCTTCTCACTAATTCTGCCACTAACGAAGTGAATAAGCCTGAGGGCGTCATTCCGGGGCAATGCAGTTGGCTGTCCTTGTCCCACATGGAGGCCAACAGATATTCCCATACTCTTGCTCTCTCTGTGATGGGCCATCTTCACCGCAGGACAAAATCATGGAGTTAGAAAGTATGACTCACTCTCTCCCACCCTGTCACTTGATAGGAGAAGGGTGCCTGGCCAGCGGTGTGCAGAAGACTCAGGGCATGCTGCTCAGGTCTCCAGGTCTCCCCCTCAGGCACTGTGTCCAGCTCACATCATCAGGGGATTTGATCGGAGCCCAGGTGTGTGCTTGTGTCGCCTGATGGAAAAATTTTGCTACAAATTGTCTCCCTGTTTATACCTCAAGAATGTTGCTTCTTCAGTGAGCTATGAGCATAATGCGCTTTAGGCTGTGTCTGAATAATGTATTTCTCCAACCAAGAAGCAAAAACTCAGAAGGTTTGTGTCATATTTTTGTATATTTAGAAACAGCTTCGTGATTGACTGGATTTTTAATTTTTCACAGGAATGTTTGATGTCGGGGAGACCGCGCCTTTAAAATCCTCCGAGGAAAGAAGATTTCTATAAAAGTTTTCTCCTATAAATATTTTATGTTTCATTGAATTACTATGAACAGAAATTCGGTGATGGAAGAGATGGGCCTTCTCTGCCCCCACACCAACCAAAGGCCCATTTCCAAACTCATGGCCGCGCTCTGCCACCTGGGAACCTGTCCACGTAAGCCCCTCTTCAGGATTCAGTTGCCTTCAAACCCTTCTATCACATTTTAGAATTACTCTTCTGATTGATTTGTGCTATCTGCTGCTGTAATTTTGAATAAACAAGCCTGAATATTTGGTCAAAATGTTTAAGTCACCTGGGTTGCAAAAAGTACAGCAAGACTGATTTCGTGACTTGCACATAATAGACACCCAATATATATTCATTAGGTATATATTCTATCAATATTAAATATTTATTAATTTTAATATACTAAAATATTAACATATAATTACTGTATGTTATATAGTAATAAAATATTGATATAAATGAATGTATAATTAAGAATATAAAATATATTAAATTGAATAATATCCCTCAAGGCTAATATATACAGGTAAATAAAATGATCTGATTCAAAGAGCTACAAGACCCTGGATGGAAAGAGGAGCTAATATTTATTGAATATGAAGTAGGTGCTAGGCGTGGTGAGAGTTGCTTCCTAAATGATCTCTTTTAATCTTCACAGAAACTCAGCGGGTAAGAGCCTACTTTCTCCAGCTTACAGATAGGAAGCCTCAAGGTTCAGATAAGTGAGGGAACTCGCTCAGGGCTGCAGAGCTAGTAGCCGGAGCAGCTTGAAAGTTATAATCTAGACCAGTCTGGTTCCACAGGCCGTGGCTTCACCCCTTTTTGCTCCCTCGAACCTGCTCCCTTATAGGGTTCCCGTAGTCATCCCGACTCTGCCTGGAAAATTCTACCACTGGGCGCACTTGCCAAGATTAGAAAGCAGAATTCCAAAGGTCCATGATGAACATACACCCACGTGGCCCGCGGTGGAACAGGTGGGGTGGGAATCTTTCTGCCTCTTTTACCCGAGTGAGGAGGAACATATCGGATGGGCCTGCTAAGGCCCAGCAGGTTTGACATGATAGGACCCTGACCTCCCACCATAATCGAAAAGCACTGACGCAGGGGCCAGGAGACCCAGGATAGCCAGAGAGAAGGAGGAGCGAACAACGCAGGTGTTTTTCACCAAACACTTACGTACTTGGAAACATTCCGGGGATGGCACTTTTTCTTGTGCACAGGAATGCTTGAGGCCACTTCCCCTCTCTTATCAGACACAGGCTGCTCCTCGCACAGGGAGTTGGGCTAATGAGGTCGCTCTCCTCTGAGATGTTATTGTGGCCATGGAGAGGAAAGAGAATAAAAGAAGGACGACCCTTGTGTTGCAGAAAAAGTCAGGTTCTTGTCACACGACCGAGAAAAATCAGGCTCGCCGACACATAGAAGCGTGAGGAGAAGAATTTATTGGGCAAGAAGGAAAAAGGAAAAGCAATGCAGCAAAGTGAGATAGAGCACTGCTAACAGCCTTTGCACCTCACGGACTGAATCCCAGGTCCCCACCCAGGGACAGGAGAGGCCAGGCTCCTCCCCACTGCAAGCGGTGCAAACTTCCCGTGGCGCCACCCTGTCCTCCCAGTGCGCAGGCTGGTCAGAGATTCTGCGGGGAGCCCTTTTCACTTGGCTCTCTCACTTGGGACCTGAGAGTTCCATGAGAGTCAGCCACAGTAAGACACCGAGGGTTAAACCTTGAGGTCGCGAGCTGCAGGGTGAGGAAGGAAAGGCACAGCCATGCGCTGCCTGCCTGTCATCCAGGCAGGCCACCCAGGTTCAATTTGTTCCTTGCCCTTTGGGTTCTGATAAGCCAGTGAGTAAAAACAAAAACTTACAAGAAAAGATGATTTAAAAACAGATTTGCTATATATCAGAAGCAGCTGTTAATTAGGCATGTTGAACTTCTTCCTCATGCCAGACTTTATAATGTTTATGAAAGTTGTAAACTCACTCAAGTTAACAAGCGTTTGCCTGGCACTTGCTATGTGCCTTCTTGAACGATGCCAGGTAGGAACATGAAGAACTGTTACCTGACAATTTAACTGCGATAGTGCCCCTTCCACTGTGGGTCTCAGGGTTGGACACTGTGTCATCTTAAAGAGGTGGCCCTTATCAGAGGGGAGGAGTAAGCTTTGGAGGTGCTGGCCCCATTGACCAGCTCCGGGACCTTGGCTGAGTTACTCAGTTCCTCTGACCTTCGGTTTTCCTGTTTGTAAGGTATATAAATACTACTGAGACAGCCAGGTGGGAGGGGCTCCCTGGCAGAACCTGCAACCGACCTGCACACTGGCAGGAATGCGCACTGGGGTGGAGCATGGGGAAGTTCCCTATTTGCAGCTGGGAGGAGCCTGCCCCGTCCTCTTCCTGGGTGGAACCTGGGATTCAATCTGCGGGGCGGGAAGCCGCACTAGCAGGACCTTGGCTTTGCAGGGAGTCCCTGTGTCCCTTTTGTCTTTTCTGCTCTGTAAATTCCATTATTCTCACCCTTCAAAGTGTGTGTGAGCCTAAGATTTCATGGCCACGTGACAAAGATCCGGCTCTTCGCTGAACTAAGGAGAAAGTCCTACAATACTATCTCTTTTTTGCGAGTACATTTGAAGTTTAAATCGCATCATGGAAAACATTCAGTAGCGCAGCCTCTGGCTCCTAGTAGGCTCTCACTGTTATTGCAGCTAAGGAGGTGGGCCTTCTACATGGAGTTCCACTCATGCGTGGCAGAGCAAGGCTCAACACGTTTGTGAGAAGCTAGGTTCAGCTTATTTTAAACAGCACCATCAAGATGTGATGAAAGGTTACAAGTAGGACAGCTGAAAACAAACATTTTAGGTCTTTGCAGTATGGATGCAAAAAGGGTTTCCCCTCTTTTCAGTGGTATGATTTGGGAAGCACTGACTAAAGTGTTTGGATCGGTGAGAGGGAGGGTGGTGGTGAAGGAGAAAAGAGGGAGGCCTCTTAGCCAAGATTTGCAGGTGTTAAATACAAACCCCAAATTGGTTACTGTGACTCTCCTGAGAGTGGGGAAGGAAGTGAGTGGGTGGATGGGTGCGGTAGGAGTGGCAAAATCAGGCCCGAAACCAAGGACTCCATATGATGCATCTTAACAGATACTCCCTCAAATTTCCTTCCTTCTCATGGGGGTGGGATTTACATAAGCATTTTCTTGGGTCCAGATAACAAAACCATGCCTTGAAAGACATTTCACTTTTTCTGCCCATAATCAAGGCTGGTACCTTCCAAGATTCAGAGATCCTTGATCAACAACAACAGAAAATGTCCTCACCATGTTCTGAAAGCCTTCCAAAGCACGGCAGAATGAAGAACGAGGAGATGGCAGACCTACCACCAGCCTGGGGTCCCAGCTGCCCTTCTATCCAGAAATGTCCTCATCTCACCACTCAGAGCTTCACATGCACCCTGTTCAAAACCCACACCAGCTTCTCTATTCCTTGTACAACAGAAACTACTCTGTTAGACCTTTGTAATAAATGCTAACCCTTTAAAGAGTATCTAATGTTTGCCCCCCAAGAACCTGTAAAAATATGTCCATTTCGCACACACAGAGCAAGGCTGCCTCCAGAAAGAGCGAGGTGTGTGTTTTTCAGATGAAAGTTGTATTTTTTAAGTGCAGCATTGTTACTACAGGTGCATTATATCTGAAATGGATGCACTCTTGAAAGATAATGAATGATAGCACTTCCTTATTGTTGGTACCCACCCATCACTCTTCTTAAAAGCACGTGCTGTATAGCATTTGCGGTGTTCCTACAAAAGAAAAATTTTAGATGATTTAAATACCTAACTGCTCCTAATTGTTATTCAGAATAAAAGGTTGCACTTCTTAAGTGTTCCCCGCTTTTAACACTGTTTTTAGTACCTCCATTTAAAGCCTGAAAATAAAATGCTTTTGCATGTGAATGGGTTGCTGTAAGTTCACGGACCATGGAGGCATGTGTCCTTGCGGCTGGGGCGTGGGCTCCGAAGCTCTTGCACAGTTTACGCTACTCTCTTTGGAATGCACCTGGGACTAGGCAAGGCCTTACCAGCTGGCATGCTTCACGGCTCTCTAGAGGTCACAAATGAATGAGATTTTCTGCCCAAACTTTAGAAATTTAAAGTTTTTTTTTTTTTTTTTTGGCAGGTAGAACCATTCCATCCAAGTGTCCCCCGCTCTGGGCTGGGGACAGTGAGCAATTCCACACCTAAAATCACCCCACACTGGTAGACGCCAGGGTAAGTTTAAAGTCCTCTTGGAAGAAAGTTTCCAGAGATCGTGCATTATTCCATGATTCTTCCTTTAAGCCTTATCTACGCAACCCAAGACACGCCTTGATCAAATGATGGAGATGCATTCTAAGAAATGTGTCATCATGTCAGAGGCATGTAAACCAGAGCAACTCCATCTTGAGTAGGGGCTAGGCAAAATGAGGCTGAAACCTACTGGGCTGCATTCCCAGGCAGTTAAGGTGTTCTAAGTCACAGGATGAGATAGGAGGTTGGCACAAGATACAAGTCATAAAGACCTTGCTGATAAAACAGATTGCAGTAAAGAAGCCGGCCAAAACCCGCCAAAACCAAGATGGCGATGAGAGTGACCTCTGGTCATCCTCGCTGCTACACTCCCACCAGTGCCATGACAGTTTACAAAGGCCATGGCAATGTCAGGAAGTTAACCCATATGGTCTAAAAAGGGAAGGCATGAATAATTCACGCCTTGTTTAGCATATCATCAAGAAATAACCATAAAAATGGGCAGCCAGCAGCCCTCGGGGCTGCTCTGTTTGTGATGTAGCCATTTTTTTTTTGTTCTTTGCTTTCGTTTTTTAAATTTTTTTTTATTTTTGGGGATGGAGTTTCACTCTTGTCACCCAGTCTGGAGTGCAATGGCATGATCTTGGCTCACTGCAACCTCCACCTCCCGGGTTCAAGTGATTCTCCTGCCTCAGCCTCCCCAGTAGCCGGAATTATAGGCATGCACCACCATGCCCAGCTAATTTTGTATTTTTTAGTAGAATGGGGTTTCACCATGTTGGCCAGGCTGATCTCGAACTCCTGACCTCAGGTAATCCACCTGCCTCAACCTCCCAAAGTGCTGGGATTATGGGTGTGAGCCACTGCGCCTGGCCTGTTCTTTTACTTTCTTCATAAACTTGCTTTCACTTTACAAACTTGCCCTGAACTCTTTCTTGTGCGAGACGGAAGAACTCTCTCGGGGTCTGGATCGGGACCCCTTTCCTGTAACTGTTGTTGTGCAAACATCACAGAGTGGACTTACACAAACCTAGATGGTATAGCCTGTTACACGCCTAGGCGCTATGGAATGGCCTATTGCTCCCAGGCTGCAGACCTGTACAACATGTCACTGTAGTGAATACTGTAGGCATCAGTAACAAAAGGGTTTAACTACACATAATCCAAACACAGAAAAAGTACCATAAAAATATACTATAATCTTGTACAACCAATATTGTATATGTGGCCTGACGTTGACCAAAATGTTGTTACACAGCACATGACTGTTCTTGGACATTGCACAAGAAAGCATTCAGGGTGAGTCCTTAGAGTAAAGTGAAAGCAAGTTTATTAAGAAAGTAAAGGAACAGGCCAGGCACGGCGGCTTACACCTGTAATCCCAGCACTTTGGGAGGCCGAGGCAGGTGGATCACCTGAGGTCAGGAGTTCGAGACCAGCTTGGCCAACATGGCGAAACCCCATCTCAACTAAAAATACAAAAATTAGCCAGGCATGGTGGCAGGCACCTGTAATCCCAGCTACTCCGGGGGCCGAGGCAGGAGAATCACTTGAACCCGAGAGGCGGAAGTTGCAGTGAACTGAGATTGCACCATCGCACTCCAGCCTGGGGGACAACAGTGAAACACTGTCTCAAAAAAAAAAAAAAAAAAAAAAAAAAAAAAGAAAGAAAGAAAAGAATGGCTACTTCATAGGCAGAGCAGCTGAGGGCTGCTGGTTACCCATTTTTTGGTTATTTATTGATTATATGCTAAACAAGGGGTGGATCATTCATGAGTTTTCCGGGAGAGGGGTGAGCAATTTCCAGAACTGAGGGTTCCTTTCCTTTTTACACCATATAGGGTAACTTCCTTGGGTTGCCATGGCATTTGTAAACTGTCATGGTGCTGGTGGGTGTGTCTTTTAGTGTGTGAATGCATTATAATTAGCATATAGTGAGGAGGACCAGAGGTCACTTTCATCACCATCTTGGTTTTGGCAGGTTTTGGCTGGCTTCTTTACTGCATCGTTTTATCAGCAAGGTCTTTGTGGTTTGTACCTTGTGCTGATCTCCTATCTCTTCCTGTGACCTAGAAAGTCTAACCTCCTGGGGATGCAGCAATGTAGGTGTCAACCTTACTTTATCCAGCCTCTATTCAAGATGGAGTCACTCCGGTTCAAACGCCTCTAACAACTGTTTATACCATTAGTAGCAGGAAGGAAAGTCAGCAGACTTTCTTCAGTCATATAAACTGTGGTGTTCACCAAAATGCTTGGATTGATTGCACAGCTGAGAGTATTCTACTGTTCAGATCACTGGACAGACATTTTTTCAGTAACACAGAGTTTAACCTAAAATCCTTATGCTTAATGTTTAAGTCAATTTCCCCCTTCCTACCCTGGTTAAGGAGGGATGATCACTTTTTTTTTTTTTGTCACAGACTGGGATGTGTGTCCTACCTTTTGTGTAAAAATGTTGCCCTCTTGCCCCTTGCCCGTCCCACCAGACAGGTCTCAGTGCACACTAAGTGTGTGAGGAGCCATATCAGACGCCTTGAGTGGCTCTGTTTTCAATGACCCCACACTTCCACATTCCCTGTGAAATAACCTCTCCTTCTCTCCTTATTTGTCCCTCGGAACACCTAGGTTTTCCAAAACAGAAGTCCCTCTCCAATAAGAGGATCACTAAGACATCCAACCTTCAAGCCCAACTCATCTCACAAAGGGGCTTGGTGCTTCTACCACAATACAAGACTACATGACTGACTGCTGTGGGCCCTTCTGAGTCAGAGAAGAGTCCTTGTAAGTTTACAACACCACACCTTTGGTGGGTTTTTACAGGGCTAGAGGGTTTGCCTAATTCAACTGAGACGTGGGTGCCCTGCAATTATCCCCGTTAGCTGCAGTGCCAGATGTATTGAAGTGGAGCGGTGCATTCTGGCTTCCTCAAAAAACCAGTTTCCAGGTTTCTTCTTCAGTTGGCTTCAGGCTCACACAGAAGCTTTTCTTAAGTTGATGTACAGCCATTAGTTGGATGCCTGGGGAGATCACAGTGGTCCCCTGCGGTGTCGACATGAGCCCAGCCTTCTTAGAGAATCAGTGCAGGGCTGAGGGAAGGGCTCCTCTGCCAGCAGCTCCAGTTCCACGAGTTCTCATCCTACACTTGATCAGACATCCACTGCTGCTGGGTGCATCTAACCTCTGGTATTACCCTGTGTTTGTTCAGAAAGACTTCTTTTGATACCACCCCCAGACAAATGTGTTTTGAATTTCACCACTACTCCAAAGTAATTCTGAATTCTAGTCACATTCCATCCGGTAGAGTCACACTCTTCCCTGTCCCCCCTTCCATAGTCCACTCTACAGATCACACCAGATCGGTGTCATCTGTAACTTAATGAGCATGGTCTCTATGCTTATCAGTCCCCACAGGTAAGACCAATTCTGCCTCATCTGCAGCAATTTGAAAGGGACCACTGGAAACTCACCCGAGGAAGTGAGAGTTGCAGAAACATTCTTTTTTCCATCTTCCTCCCACTTCCTGCCCTTTCCCAGTTCTGTCCATAAGCTACTGGCAAGCTCAGCCATTCTGAGAAGGGATCTCCCTAGGAACCAGGCTACTCACTATCCCAAGCACATGCTGACTTCCTACCAGTGAAGGAGCCTTTTGCAAACATCCCCCTACTCCTACCCTCTATAGCCTCCCAGCATTCAGAACCTTAATGATATTTATTCTGGATGTTTGCAACTTTAGAACACAACACACTGATTTTCTGACATTAAACACACCAACGGCTATGAGAGAGTTCTAGAAATAATGTTCCCCCCTCTGTACTGGGAGTAGGGAATTGCGTTTGTCAGAGTCTCCCAGGTGCTAAAAGAAGAGAAATGGGCTGAGAATGGTGAGCTGGACAGAGTCCAAAGCTGCTGTGTAATCTCTCTGACTCTTCCTTGGCCAGCTCCTCCATGTATGATAGCACATTGTGCACAGAGCTCCCCCAGAGGAAAGAGCTGCTGGTTTCAGCCCTGTCTAATAAGAGACCAACGTGTGTGCATGGCCACTTTGAAGAAGAAGGGAAAAAGACAAACAAAAACAAAACACAACCGAAACTGTAGTTGTGCGGCTTCTATTGCCCAAAGCAAATCCAGGCTCTTAAGCTGTTTCATGAAGCCCCAGGGCCAAGGCTGCGATGTGGCTGGGGGAGAGGTGCAGCTCGCACATGGTGTCGTGCTGCTGTGTTACCCACCAGGACAATCCTGCCCTGCTAATGGCCCTGGGCACTTGTAGTGGGCTTCTCCCTGAACACAGATCAGAAATGCAGGCTCCTTTTCTGCAGTACTTCTCCTTAATCCCGGCAACTCTCCATAGCGAAGACTAGTTTTCCACAAGGAAACCAAGCTGGTCATCTCCTCTCTCTGCCAGGAGAGTTTGCCTTGCAAACTGCTGTGGGAATGACTTTCCCCCCAGGACCTATCTAGGTGCAGAATTACATTTAGATGGTTATTATTTTCTCATATTCAATATTCCTCTTACTACCACCTGTCATTTTCACCTATTGTTCTGGTATTCAATTCTAATCCTAATACTCTTTGCAAAGCTTCCACTTTGCTCTTTGATATTTCTTGGTTCTTTCTGGAGGAAGAAAGTAAAATTAAAATTTAAAGAGGAAAGAAAATAATCATGTGGGAAGGTGTACATAACTCTCGAAACACTTAGAGTGTGAATTTGTTTCTGAATTCAGATTTCAAGTGTTTTAGTCACACAGTGTCAGATACAAAGATGAGAGAATTCATGGATTACTCTGACCATCAATGTTTGAGATCTTAAAAGTCAGGACAGTTTTAATTCCAATATTCACTCTATGGATATTTATTTATTTCCAATATCCACTCTATGGAGATCCTAGGTGAGGCTGAAGGAAGAAAAGCACAGTTAAAAATATTCAGGGCACGGTGTCTCACACCTGTAATCCCAGCATTTTCAGAGACAGAGGCGGTGGATCACCTGAGGTCAGGTGTTCGAGACCAGCCTGACTAACAAGGTGAAACCCCGTCTCTACTAAAAATATAAAAATTAGCTGGGCATGGTGGTAGGTGCCTATAGTCCCAGCTACTCAGGAGGCTGAGACAGGAGAAACTGCTTGAATCCAGTAGGCGAAGGTTGCAGTGAGCCGAGATCACACCACTGCACTCCAGCCTGGGCGACCGAGTGAAAAAAAAAAAAAAAAGAAAATCAGGTTTTCTTCCCAACCAGAAATATTTTCCAATCAGAAAGCTGATTTTGTCAGGCCAATACCTGAAATTTTAAACTCAGATAAGACTTGAAAAACATACAAACAACCTTTCACTTTGTAACACTCTGTATGTATTTTTAGAAATCTATTCCTTAACATATTTTATCTGCTGTAATAATCTTTTAGTAAGTCAATAACTCTCCCAACTCTACCAACTAGGCAATAAGCAAAATAACAACTTGCTTCATTATTTTCTTTAAAGTCCAGGTTTTACTCATCTTTCTCCGTTTTCAAAGAGAGAAGAAAAGAAGGGCAACCAAGAGAGGCGGTGGAGTGGAAACACTGAGAATTATCTAGTGACGGATATCCGGGTAGAAGAGCAGGATCACCAATGTCTGAGACCAAGGGACAGTTCTCACTGGCTACGTGTTCATGCAGCACCAGCTCAAGCTGCAGAGAAGCACATGGGTTCCCGTGAGCCACGTGGAACCCTCCATCGGAACCCTCCCAACAAATCACCATCGTTTAAAACTTTAATCAAGATGATTTTCCTGAATTTAGGTAAATGTATTAGTTTTTATAGATACACCAATGTCTATGTCTAATGAAAATCAAGACAATCCATTGAAAAGCCGATCTGAAAGAACACCTACGTGTGTGTATGTGTGTAGAGAGAGAGGGAGAGAAATGGAGACAGAGAGACAGCAACAGAGAGAAAGAGAGAGGACAGAAAGAGAGAGAATGCTTTGAACCTCTGTGTAACCATTGCATATTAAAAAGATTAGGATGGGTATGGGGGCTCATGCCTGTAATCCCAACACTTTGGGAGGTTGAGGCAAGAGGACTGCTTGAGGCCAGGAGTTCAAGAACGGCCCAGGCAACTTAGTGATACCTCCATCTCTACAAAAAAAAATTTTTTTTTTTTTTTTTAAGTTAGGTGAGCATGGTGGCATACACCTGAGGTCCCAGCCACTCAGGGAATGGAGGAGGTAGGAGGATTGCTTGAGCACAGGAGTTCAAAGCTGCCATGAGCCATGATTACACCACTCCCTCCAGCCTGGGCAACAGAGACAGACCTTATCTAGGAGGAAACAAGGAAGGAAGGAAGGAAGGAAGGAAGGAAGGAAGGAAGGAAGGAAGGAAGGAAGGAAGGAAGGAAGGAGAGAGAGAGAGAGAGAGAAAGAAAGAAAGAAAGAAAGAAAGAAAGAAAGAAAGAAAGAAAGAAAGAAAGAAAAGAAAGGAAGGAAGGAAGGAAGGAAGGAGAAAGAAAGGAAGGAAGGAAGGAAGAAAAAGAAAGAAAGAATGAATGAAAGACAGAAAGGGAGAGAGAAAGAAAGTGGGAAGGAAGGAAAGGAAGAAAGAAAGAGAAAGAAAAGAATATATAAGAGTAAAAGAAGTTTATATGTGAAATAAATGGTATGTTATTCATCCCTCTAAGGGTCTAAAGTCTTTAAGAAATAATGTGTTCACCTGATGAATGTAATAAGTTATTTTTGATACACTGCCTTTGTCTTATGGACTCTTTAGAGCATTTAGGTGATGAATCTAATTCCACAAGTTCTGCCTAGGAGTACAGGGCAGCCTTGAATGGGTTTATCTAGTGGAATAGCCCACCATTCCTAACCCATCCCTGCCCAGGGTAAAGAAAACCTGTCGCAAACTCTTGGCCCACAGAAGACGTGACGTGGTGCTCTCAGGCATTGCTGAGAGAACACAGGGACAGCACAGAACCCCCAGAGGACTGGGCCAAGAAAACACAACCTGACCTTTAGGACAGAAGAGGAAAATGGAGTGAAGAGGTCTTTCTGTTTTCTGTGTACTGGCACCTATTCATTGGCACGGAAAGGCAAACAAGTCAGAATGGACTTGAGAAAGTAAGAGTGGATGGACGTGGACACTTACAGGGAGGCAGTCACCAGCAACACTTACAGATGCGGCCAAGGATCTCCACGGCAGCATGGTTGGGCACAGGGCAGGTCTGGGATCAGGCAGGATTTGTGAGCATGTTGGGGAGCCCTAGGCTGCTCCCCGAGAAGAACAGGTCTTACCGTCTCCACTCCAGCTGGCCCCAGCTGAGCTCATCTTTGTACAGACTGCACTCTGTCCAAGCACAGAACCTGGAAGTGGAGCCAAGGGAATGTTTTCTCCCCTTCTAACGTTGGAGAGGGCATTGTTGTAGACTACGTGAATGAAGGAGAATCTGGCACGAGGAATCTTTCTATCCTCCTGGCTGTGGAGTGAACAGGTGGCCCCAAATCTGTCTATGTGGTGGGGGGCGGAGGCGGGTAGGGAGAGGATGAATCTGAAAATATAATGTCCTGAAACTTAAATCTGAACCACATAAAGGAGAAAGAATAAGCTTTAAGGTAGCACTCCCAAAAATTTCCACCGAAATATCAGAAGAAATCGCTTACGCTTGGATAAGAAGGAAGAGGTATTGGCCCAAAGCCACCCTCTATAGTCACAAAATGCATGCGAAGTCTTAGTTTTTGTTTTTAAATCATATGGTGATTTTGTATTCTATTGTATAGTAGATCTGTGATTGTTTTAATATAAATGTATAGTTTGAGGTTCTCAGTGAAGTTACTTAGCTTGTTCCCCAAAGAACCACGTGGTAAAGAGATGCTCCGGGAAGACACCCCATACTTGTTCTGTGACTTGGTTTCTGCAACCTGGATACATCCCCTGCACCTCTTGGTAGTTATGAATTTCACAAGCACAGCTAGGGAACAGGATATCTGCTCCTGAAACAAACAGAGAGAGGCCACAGTGGCAGAAGGAGGTCACACAGCAAGGAAAGAGGGGTGATCAATGCAGCCAGTGCCTTGCCCCTCAGGGCACCCCACTTCAGGGCCACCCCGTTCTGCTCACCAGAGGACTCAACCGCCAGCTACCTTTACACGCCCCAGCCCAAATGTGGAAACAACTTACTTCTGGTTGTTCCTCTTAACCTAGCTGAGACAGGTAATTTTTTTTTTTCAAAGAAATTGGGAAAAAAATAAGGAGAAATAGGAAAACAAGTACAAGGAAAATAAAAAATCAGCTTTCTTCCCTCTCCATGTACCCTCCCCTGTGACAGGCACACGTTACCTCAGATGACTGGAAGGCTGTGCAGCTGTTTTACCCAACACCAACTCACATGCCCAAGCCAGGGCTGGTCTCCCAAACACCCTGAGAAGGAACTGTGGTCGCAGCTTAAGACATAGGCTCCTCTCTCCGTTTCTTCTCTCTCTGTCTCTCTCTCTCCATCTATATGTGTGTGGTGTGTGTACTGCATATGTTGTGTGTCATGTGTGTATTGTGTGAGTATGTACTGAAGATTATGTGTGTTTTGAGTGTGTGGTGTGCTCTGTGGGGTGTGTGTGTGTGTAGTGTATGCTGGGTCTGCTGTGTGTTGTATGTGGGTTGTATGTATATGTTGTGTGTGCTGTATATGTTTCGTGTTGTGTATGTTGTGCGTTGTGTGTGCCATGTCGTGTGAGTGTGTTATGTGTTGTATTTGTGTGTTGCATTTGTGTGCTGTGTGCATGTTGTAAGTGTGTTGTGTGCTGTGTGTGTGTTGCATTGGTGTGCTGGGTTGTACGCTGTGTTATTGTGTGAGACACACATACAAAAATCTGGACATAATGCAGTGAATCCTAGGACCAAACAGAGCTCCAACCTATCTTTGCCACCCACCCAGAATGCCCCCCTCAGTAATTCCACAGGGGAAGTTCATTCTTCACCAGGAAGTGGCAAGGATGGGGTGACTGGCAGGTTAAATAATCCCAACACTTAGGCAAGATGCCAACTTCTATATACAGGATTTGCCTCAGCCTTGTAGTCTACCAAGTGTTAAATAACACTAAATTTATACAATAAATATAACAGTCACACAGTAATTCTAACTAGAATAGTAAGAGTGCAGCCTTTTCACAAAAGCATAATGTGGAATAAAAGCACCAAGTTTCCGTTGAGGATATGCAGAAGGTTGAAAGTAGTTCAATTTAATTATTTCATCACAGCCTATGCTGTAGTATGTGCAGGTAGACAATATTTATATAGCAATATCAAGGATATAGCTTAGGCTTTCCCTATAGCATAGTAGGGAAATTGGCAGGGAGGAAAAAAGGATCCACTCCACTGGAAATAATTCATTCTTATTTCCAGACCAAACTCTACAACTGAATTCAGCCTCTAAAATGTGGGTAAATGGCATGATTTTGTTTCCACTCTGACCTTTGGAATCTGGCTGATTAAGGCTGGGTCTGCTAGCACAGCTGGTCTCTCCTTCCACCAAGCTGACCTGCTAGAAAGCAGCCAATTTAGCCCCGCAACCAGCTACTAATCAGCCAGCTTCTGGTTAATCTGTACTGCTTACAAATTCCCAGATTACTTAACTGCCAGCATCCAGGGGGGTGAAAGAACCTGTCCTTATTCCCATGAGGATAGGAAGGACAGTCCTCTGTGGGAAGAAGGGTCATTGTACAACTTAGAAAAGAATCGGTGGCTGGGCATGGTGGTTCACGCCTGTAATCCCAACACTTTGGGAGGCCGAGGCGGACGGATCACAAGGTCAGGAGACTGAGACCATCCCAACCAACATGGTGAAACCCCGTCTCTACCAAAACTACAAAAATTAGTTGGGCGTGGTGGTGGGCGCCTGTCATCCCGGCTACTCAGGAGGCTAAGGCAGGAGAATGGTGTGAACCCAGGAGGCGGAGTTTGCAGTGAGCCGAGATTGCGCCACTGCACTCCAGCCTGGCGACAGAGCGAGACTCCGTCTCAAAACAAAACAAAACAAAAAGAATCAGGGATGGCAATTGAGCCCAGAGACTGGCCTCCGAGCCAGGCCACACACACTGCACACATCACTCGCTTGGCTTTGTCTCAGCTAGGTCCCACTCTATCTGCACTGTGACTAGAATGGAGCTGTATAAATACGGGTGGCATTAGTGCACACTCCACCATTGGTGGAGATCCGCCACTGATATAAAAACCAGACACCAAAATGAACTGCAAAGTCCTGCCTGTGGTCTCTGGGTTTATGGGAAGGGCATTTTGCAGGGTAACTGTGTGTTAAGGATACACTCCCCTGGCAGGGTCAGTTGGAGGGAGAGCTAATCGCTCAGTAAACAGAGAGAAGAGAGATGCTTATACTTAATAAGCCATTGCAAATGGAAAAGGCAAGTTCCTACCCACCGTGATTCTCTCTAGAAACAAATGGCTTGGATCCAAGCACTACAAAGCCCTTTCAGAAAGCTGAGAGGGTCTCCGGGTCCCAGTGCCCCCAAACGTAACCCTTTTGTGTGGTTCTCTTTCTTGTGGAAGCAGCTTTAACAAGGGAAGAGGCAATGACTGTGTATGTGTGTGTATACCACAGTCACGATTTTTCCTTTTGTCTTCAGTTATGGCCCTCCTGATGTGCAGTTCACCCTTCTCCCTTGGAGGCAGATGCAACAATTACAGGGGAGGGCCAGACTGAGGTGCTGGGTGCTGCTTCTGCAACACCTTGTCCAAGGGTGTTCCCAATCCCCTTCCTTCAAGCCCCCTGAACCCCGAAGAGTGAAAGCAGCACAGAGCTCTAGCGGTTCAGCATGTGGCAAAGCTGGCCTGGTGGCAGAAGGGAGGTCGAGGTCTCTGCCAAGGCTTGCTGCTCTGGTTTCTCTCATCTCTGGCCTGTGCCAACCATCCTGTCAGATGAAAGAAACAGTGTGGTTCGATGCGCCAAGTCAAAGCTCGGGCTGGGAGCTGCAGCCGCGACCCCGTCTCCATAGTCGTTTACATTTATTATTTTGTGCCCGCTCTGGATACTTTCACTTAAAATGTGGGAAATAAAAACACAAACCTGTCTCCCAAGGCTATAAAAAGCAATGACTAATATAAAAAAGGGGAAAAAGGATCATAGAGCATTTTGTAGATACACTATCCATAAATCCTAAGTAAGCCTGGTGTGGGGTATTGGCAAATACAGCCATGTGAGGAGGTAGAGGGGCACTTTGTCCCTGAGAGAGCTCCAAAACCAGGGAATTCCAGGCGTAGAATGACAACCTTCCTGCTTGCACAGTTGCTGTTACTCGGCCCTTTTCTAGGAAAAAGGACTTCAAAGATTTCCACCAATCACCCACATGGCCACTGTCTAAGGCACCAGTATTTCTTTCCATTTCAATTTGAATACAACAAGGAATCCAGGAAGAAGACAAGGAACAGTTTTTTTTCTCTCTTCTCCACTTAAGAGAGGGTGAATCTCTGGTCACTTTCTAGAAATAAAAGAAGGAAGAGCACTCACTAATAATATAGCCCTTTGAACTTCCAGCTTCTGATTAGAACCAGGGACCTAGACATAATCATCCAATAGTGTTCGTTCTGTGTACCCCTCCATCTTTGTCATTTCTCTTCTTCCTGTTTCTAAAGCTAGATTCAAAAGTTGAAAGTGGCTGGGTACGGTGGCTCATGCCTGTAATCCCAGCACTTTGGAGACTGAGGCGGGCAGATCACCTGAGGTCAGGAGTTCCAGACCAGCCTGGCCAACATGGTGAAATCCCATCTCTACTAAAAATACAAAAAATTAGCCGGGTGTGGTGGTGTGCACCTGTAGTTCCTGCTACTTGGGAGGCTGAGGCAGGAGAATCGCTTGAACCCGGGAGACAGAGGTTGCAATGAGCCGAGATTGCACCACTGCATTTCAGCCTGGATGACAGAGTGACACTCTGTCTCATCAAAACATAAAACAAACCAAAACAAAACAAAAACACAACGCAACAAAACAAAAGTTAAAAGAGATTTATAATAAGTATTGGGATATATCCATTCTGCTAAAACTTGTAGCTAATTTGCCAAGTCTTATTTCATTGTATTTGTACGTTTGCTCTTATAAAAAAAATGTTTCAAAATCACAATGAGATATCACTTAACACCAACTGGAATGGCTATTACTAAAGAAACAAAAAATAACAAGTGTTGGTGTGTTGGTGAGAATGTGGAGAAATTAAAACTCCCGTACACAGCTGATGGTAATGAAAAATGGTGCTGCTTCTGGGGGAAACTAGGGAAGTTCTTCAAAAAACAAAAAAGAAAATTACCTTATGATTCGGCAATTCTACTTCTGGGTATATGCTGCAAAGAATGGAAAGCAAGAACTCCAAGAGACATTTGCCCTCCCTCATTCACAGCAGCATCATTCACAATGGCCAAAAGGTGGGAACTAACCCAAGTGTCCGTGGACAGATGAATGGGTAAACCAAACGTAGTAAATACACACAATGAGGTCTTATTCAGCCTTAAAAGGGAAGGAAATTCTGCTACATGCTACAATATGGATGAACCTGGAAGATGTTAAGTGAAATAAGCCAGTCACAAAAGGATGAGTATTGTGTGATTCCACTAACATGGGGTTCCTAGAGTAGTGAGATTCACAGAGACAGAAAGTAGAATGGCAGTTGCCAAGGGCTGGGGGCAGGGGAACGTGGGAATTAAAATTATTACTTAATGAGTAGCGAGTTTCAGATCTGTAAGATGAAAAAGGTCTGAAGATGGATGATGGTGATGGTTGCACAACAACGTAAATGTACTTAATGCCCCTGAACTATACACATAAAAGGGTAAAAATGGTAAATTATATGTCATATATATTTTACTACTATAAAAAAGTGTTTTGAACATCTGACATCGTGTTCTACCTCCATAACATTCGTGACGGGGGAAGAACAGGTATTCTAATCTGTGTATAAACACAGGAAGACAGATAGAAGGCCTCAGCCCTCTAACAGCTTTGAGCATGGACTGGTGAGATCTATCATCTTCCCCTGGAATAAACCACCTGCCCAGCTACCTCCGGATGCCTCACCCTTTGCTTGGAGGTGTAAAGATAAGTCCCCCATAGTGTTCAAATCCAGGGCCAATGGCAGCTGCGGGGTCCCAGGAGAAGGGGTTTGGGCCTTACTGGCACCTCTCTGCCCTTCTCCTGCTTTCACATCTGGCCAGGGACACTCCCGTTCTGCTAACTTCTCAGACTCCACCCAGTGCCCCTGACCCAACAGGAGTGCATGGTGGCGATTACCTCCCATGACCACTGGCCCTCACAGTGGCTGGGAATCCTGGTGGGGAGGCCTGCACCTCCTCAAGCTCCAGCCCCCTCTGGATGGGCGAGTCCCTCGGTGCTTCTGTCCTGTGTCCAGTTTCCTTTGTCCTCTCCAGAGGTCCCTCCTGCGCTTCACCACTGGTGATGCCCCTCCAAATAGCAGCTCCCAATCCCCAGGACAGCTCTTCAGGACACAACCCCTTCCTCCCAGGAGACCCGCAGGTTTCAGCTCTCCTGGGGCCACGGCTGGACCAAGTCCTCAATTGCTTCCTTGCCATTATCCTCTTTGAACTCCCTCTCTCTCCTCTAAAAGCCCCTCTGGCTGCAGACTCCTTAATTCCGTAGCTGCTCCTTTCCAAAAGCAGGTGCGCCTGCCCCGGGCCTCTTCGGACTTTCCATCACAGGCCAAAGGAAAACCAGCGAGAGCTCGCAGGACACCGGGGCCGTATTCAGACAGGCGCAAAACGACCCTTCCTCTTCTGTGCGCCTTAGGGAACGCCTGAAGGCAGGCAAGCCTGGGGCTCAGGGGAGGGTTCCTGAGCGGGCAGTCAGGGCTGCCCCCAGGCCCTGGCAAGGAGGTTTTCCGAGGCTCTGCAGTTCTCGAGTGTGTGTGTATGTTTTTGGTGGTGGTAATTGGGAGGCAGGGGGTCAAGACCTGGAGTGCAGAGAGTGAGAGAGAGGACCTCCTCCGCCCATCCTGGGCTCCTGGTTGATCCTAACCTCCACCCAGCGTCAACTTTTTGCTGCTCCCGTTAGATGGCGCCCAAGACTTTCTAACCACTTGTGAAAGTGCTCCTGGTCTGGAACAAAAAGAACCGTGGGGTGTGAATATGAATGTGTGTGAGTGCGAGTGCGCGCGCGGGGCTGGGCACAGGGCACGGGAGCCGCCTGGCATTACGCTTGGCCCCGTCGCGGGTCGGCCCGGCCCAGGGCTGGAGCGCGCTCACGGGAGGAGCTGCGCGGCCGGCGGAGAACTTCCTTCTTTTCCCTTCCCTCTCCCTCTTGGGCTCGCGCCTAGGCCCTGGCCACTCTACCGGAGAGAAGCCGGGCAACCCGGCCGCGGGCTCAAGCAGCCAGCGCTGGCTGCAAGTGACCGCGGTGCGCGGGCGGAAAGGGGTCCCGGACGTGCGGGTTGGAGAGCTGGGACGCACACGACAGCCCCTTTCTCCGCCCTTACCGCCCCAGCGCTCACAGCAGCTGCTCTGTTTTTTAAGAGAATGGGGCAGGTGCAGGTTTGGTTGTAGCGGTTTTCGCCGCTCCAAGGCAATCGTTCAGTGTAAAGTTTTCTAAGCGTACTGCGTGGGCGTGTTTCCAGAAACACAGGGCAAACTTTCTCGCTCCCAAAGCCAATTACATTAAACAGACTCTCTTATGAAAAGGCCCTTGGGGACCCTAGGGCGTCAGATGCGACAGCTAATTTTAAAATAATGGGTGATTAGGGAGCGCGCTTTCTCTCCAGCACCAAGTTCACCTCTTCTCCCAACCCCTCTAAAATAAGTGACTTGACGATAGCTGATCTCATCCCCTAGTCCTCTCCTTAATGCCAGTCTGGACGCGCACTGTCCAGGAGAAGGGATGCGTCTCCTCTCCCTCGAAAACCAGCGCGGAGACCTTCTTTTGTGCCTCTCCTCGGCTGTGAACTTTCCTGCGCGGTAGGTTCTCCTTTAAGAAAGTAGCATCCCTATGAATATTTAATGCCGTGCGCGGGCCAGCGGGGCGGAGGGGAGCCCACGGTCCGGGTTTCCGCGCGCGCCGAGACCCGGGCGCAGAGCGAGGGCGTCCCCACCAGCCTGACCGCCGCGGGAACTCGGGGACGGGGAGGGCGGGGGTTAGCGGGAGGAAAGGGTAGACTGAAGAGGAGCTGGGAACGGGAGGGGGGCTCGGGGCGAACGGGCCGTCGCGTTCATTTCCATAAGAAAGCTGAAATCGCAGTTGGAAGCAGGATTTCTCGCCCCTGCGGCCCTTCCCCCATACCCGGTTTTCTGCAAGAAGCGGGCTCCGGAGCTCAGAACCCGAAGTGTGTGCTCTGGTCTTTGATGATGTTGATAAAATGTGGTTTCAAATGTTGTCCCGAAGAGGCCGGTTTCCTGTCTGTGTGTGGAATGGAAGGACCGTGCCGGGTGAGTCCAGAGCAGCGGGGAGCGGACAGGAGGCTCAGGGCATAGGAGAGGGAGGGCGCAGCCGGTGGGCGCAGGGCATCCCTGCAGGGGAAGTTCTTGGGGGGGCGGTGTTTGAAAAGGGAAGCCAGGTTGAAACCAAGTTTCCCGAGTAAGGAAGATTGTGTGTGTGTGTGTGTGTGTGTGTGTGTGTGTGTGTGTGTGTTTGGGGGTGGGGAACACGATGAGGGAAGAGGTCACGAAAGCCCCAGAACCCAGGCGGCCCGCGCATGGGAAGGTCTGGCAGGTCTCATCACCTCCCTCTTCAAAGAGCGGGGGAAACTTTCGCTGGCAGCTGTTGCCCCTCTTCCTGCGAAGGAATAAAGTGAACTTGCCCAGATACTGGATTCCTCTAGCGGTTCAGTTGTTCAGTTCTTTCTGCGTTCGCATTGAGCACTGAGTTTCTTTTTGACTTGCAGTGTGAACAGCAGCCATGTGACCTCAATTCTATATGATACACACACACACACACACACACACACATCCCTCCTAGGTACTTTATGATCCCATCTGGAGAAATTAAAACCCAGATCTGGAATGTTTATTCTTAGATAGTTTACCAAAAGCAGGGGGGAAATGTGTGAGACACATGTCTGCGAATATAACAAAAGTACTTTCCCTTGTGCTTGAAAAGTTGCCTGCAAATGGCTGGCTTCCGTTTACTGACTGTACCACCTGTACCTCTCCAGGAAACTAAATGGAGTCAGGAATAAAGCACCAATCAGATCAAGCAATTAAATACCAATTATGACTATTAATGACTTTATTACTAATGACTGGAGTTGAGGACTCCAAACCCGATTGAGGTAATCAAGCTGTTTTAAAATTCTGCTGCCTAACATTTTTACCGCACTCCTTCCCCAAAATAGGAGGTTAAAAAAGACAGAGGTTATATTTTCAAAGAGTTCTCCAGTAGGTATTCATGGTCAATGTTGAACTTATTTTTCTCAGTAAAGGGTATTGCTACTGCTGGTAAATAATGGAGTCTTCCTTTCTGGCTCTGCCAAGTTATGCAAAGTGTAATTGATGATGGTGGTTACACAATATATGGTACTTGGTTTGGATGCAGAACTGGGATGGGGCAGGGGTGCTTTCTCTCTTCAGTTACTCTGACAATCTGGCAGACCCTGGAAGATTTTAAGGAACAAGTGTTTTAATTCTTCAGATAGGGTAATGGCTATTGGGATGTTTCGAAGGTGAGGAAATGAAGAATGGGGAATCCAGACAGCAAGGAGAAAGAAGGAATTAGGCCTATGTTTTGAATTTTCTTTTTGCTCATGGGTTGAAATGCCTTTAACTTGTCATAAGTTACGTGACTGAAAAGAAAAGGTTACTGAGACCAGTATATTGGTATAAAGGCTACTGTGTAGCCGGGTTTATTACTGAAGATGATTTGCCAACCCTCCTTGCCTCTTGACTGATACCCCTTCTTATCCCACATGGAAGTCCCGTTCATTCTGGGATAGGAGGAGAAGGCCTGGAGGGAGGAAGGGAATAAATTCCTGCTGGAGTCCATGAGAAGAAAGGAGGGGGCAGTTAGTAGGAATTCTTTAGTCACCATGAAGCAGGCAGGGGGCAGCTGAGCTCTTGGAGGAGCCAGCAGCTCATCTTGATATAGGTCATCTCTGCTCATTGTCCCACAGTTCAGCTCTTCAGGACACAAGAAGTGTTTGGAACAATGAACTTCAAGTCCCTGGCTGGGGATCTTTCCCCTTCACCTCCCTCCTAGGTGGAAGCCTACAGCAGCAGCAGCAGCATCTGGTTCTGATGTGTTTACCAGGCTGGTATGGAAATGCCCAGGCTGCATGGCAGAAACCTGAGCTGCTAGTGACAAGCACACTCCTCTGCTAAGCAGCGAAAAGTTTTGATACTTTTTGAGCACTGGGTGGCCTCTTCTCTTGATGTGAAGCACACGATCCCCCCTCCCCATTTCTATTTGTCAGAGTTAATTGCCCTGCAGTGGAGCAGCTCACACTTCAGGCAGTGCCAAGAAATACAACAGGGAAGGAATCCTGCACAGGTAACAGGATGGCATGGTGTTACCTTAGACACGTAGGGATTCAGAAACCTCAGTGGAATGAAATGGGCCTGGGGTATTCTCCCTTTGGTGCCTACCTAGGGACAAGCCTCTTTGACCTGGCCCAGACTGTGGGCAGCTTATGTATGATGGCCCTGAGTCCTGAAGGTGAAGCTAGTCACTTTCTCTAAGTGGACAGTCAACCCCAGAGGCAGTTCTAAAGAGGAGAGCCTCAGGTGTCCACAACAATTTCGTTTCTGTTCTGGGGCACCAAGAGGCACCCTGAGAACTCAGAGGACCCAGAGGCTCCCCTCAAGCAAATTCCCTGCTGACCCTGGACACCCCTTGAAAGAGGGGACAAGAGGCTGCCTCCAGCAAGGACTCCCAGCAAGGACTTCCAGCAAACAAGTTCAGCTTGGGCTCTGCCTACCACTAAGCCTTTATGAGGGTGGGGGGAGGCAGAGTCCCTGAACAGGGCAGAGATAATCAGTTGTTCCCCTTTCTGGTGTCAGAGGCAAAGAAGCCTGAAGGGCTGGCGGTGGTGCTGGCTCTGGGTTTATTGACTCTGTGATCCTGTCCAGCTGTCCTACAGGGAGTTCCAGAGCTCTCTCAAAGTGCATGGGGAACTGCATAAGTAGGACTGGGGCACAATACCAGAAGCTATTTGTCTCCTAGAACCTGGCACCCGCTCCACTTACCTTATAGGAGACCCACATCACTCAGTTCCCAGGACACCTGGTGGGAGAGTCTGGTGAGAGTTGGAGGCAAGCTTCCTCTACTTACAACTTGTTTAAAAATGGACATAAAGAGGAGAACAGACACTCCATCGCCCATACAGGGCCTCTTTTGTGTCCCCTCCCAGGGCACCCTTGCCACTCCCCTAGGTGGACCTACACATTGTTCAGTACCTGTCCCCTGTCCCCAAATAAATATGAGTTTATTTCTTTAAAAGAAATATTACAGCTTTAAACTCTTCCCAGCCAGAATCCACTTAATTTCATCAAGGTCTCTTGCCAGCAGCCATAATCCAGGCCAAAGAGGCTTGTACCTAGGGAGGCACCAAGGGGAGAATACCCCAGGCCCATTTCATTCCACTGAGGTTTTTGAACCTCTCGGTGTCTAAGGTAATACCACCACCATCCCCACCTGTTTTCACTTCTTTCTTTGTGTCTTAAGGTTGCATTTTAGGAGGGTTTATATAATGTTGTTCATGTCAGCAGCCCCACCCTCACCCCACGGCCCTATATGGAATTATAGTTGGAAAGCACACACACATAGAAAATCTTTGAAGTTTTTTTTCTGCTATTCTTCCTGACTAGAAGAGTTGACAAGACATAGACACATTAAGTTGCATAAAATACAGTAGCGTGATCAGCCTAAATGCATCTCATTTGCACTGTTTGTAGCCAGGGGTGGGGGCTTGTGTCACTCATTGCCTCACCCTCCTCCCCCGAAGCCAGACCAGCCGGCTGGAATTTCAGAGCAGGCCCCAGGGCAGCAGCCATTAGGGAGGTGGAAGCCCTAGCCCACCAGGTCAGCGGGGGTAGGGGGTGGATAGGGAAGTTGTCTGGAGGTCTGGCCTGAGGGCTTGAACCAGCTTTGGCAGACCTGGGCTCTGGGAGGCTTGGCCGGTGGGTGCCCGCGGCTGGAAGTTGCAGGTCTGCAGCCATGCTTCTGAGCTTCTCCTGGGCTGAGTTCAAGAAAGGGGACACCAAGAAGTAGGGGAACAGTCACTGACTATATTTTACATCCACGCCTACCCCTTTCCCAGAGTTGTGTTCTCACCACCCACTTTGTCGGCGGACGAGAAACACTCCTGCCTGATGGGTTCCTGCACCTGCTCCTAGACCTGAACTCGGGCCCTGAGCTCCTCACTGCCGCCTGCTCTGCACTGAGCCCCACTCCTGAGACCGCGAGGTACCAGAACAGCGCCTCTCCCACCAACTCCTAGACGCCTGTAGGACCTGCGCAGGAGCCTTCAGAATCCCGTGGGGATGTGGGGGTGAAGTTGGAGGTCATTCGAGTGATTTTTTCTTACTTTTTCCCAATTGTTCTCCTGCATTGATTTCAACTCTTCCAGTCTCCCGGTGCTGGGGCGTCAATCCTTTCCCACCAATTCCTATCCATCAGCTGGAGGTCGGGGCCCAGGGTCGCCCCAGGATTCTATGGCGGCAAGGGGCGCCGAGCAGAGGGGCGGGAGGAGCTGGGTCCTCGGGAACCAAAGGGGACCTCAGCGGGGGCGGAGTGCGCAGCCTTGGCTGCTGGGAAATGCCCAACTAGCCGCTGTGAGTGCTCACAGCTTGTCGTGGGGGCGTCCGTTCTGCAGCTCAGGTGACTCAGACGCCCCGCCAGCCCCACCAGCTCCCGGCTTCTCGAACGCTCTTCTGCTCGCCCAGCGGGGAAACTTCAGGGCCTGCCTCGTCAGGCCAGATTGCAGCCCGCGACCTTCCCGGATTAACCAAGGGCGAGGCATGTTGCCCAGCAAGGCTGCCGCGTAACTGAGCCTCCCGGGGAACAGCCATGACCAAAGACCCGCGGGCCCAGGCGCGGGCACCTACCCTTACCCGCGCAGGCCTGTGGGAGCGCAGGGGCCGAGGCCGAGACGCTGGACATCCAGCCCCACACCTCTGACGACCCAGGCACATCTGCGGAGCCCGGGAGAACAATCAGCGGGCTCTGCGTCCCGGGAGCTGGGGACACGCCTGCAAGGTGTGTGATCTTTTAAAGATCCTTAGTACTAGTTTTGCAGGAAGCCTTTGTTATAGCCTTGTCAGCCTGCGCGCTTTCAGCAGCTCCCCCTCCCGGACCCCTCGGTTCCCTCCCGGCTCGCCCCCAGCGGAGAGGGCCTGGCGCAGGGGATCTGCCCAGGATCAACGGCCCTCTTTCAGCTCCCCTTCTGCAAGGCTCTTTTCCGTTGGTGACAATCTCCCCTCCGTGCCTGGGGCAGATAAGCACGGTTAGCCCCGCCTGCAGTATTGGGGCGATGCTGTCCTGGAAGAACCGGCTTTCTGAATGTGACCTCGGGATGCTGCAGCGGCGCAATACTGCTACTGCTGAATGAGTAGCTCTCCTGCCACCGCAGGGCGACTGCGGTGGGCACAGCAGGGCGCACAGAGGAGGGGGTAACCTGCCCGCCCAGGCTAAGGATTTGAGGGTTCTGACAAAAAGAGCTGGTTGAGGATGACACAGTCGTGAACTAACCTGGCTCCTACTGCCCCACAAGACAGCCAGGTCCCAGTAGTCTTGGGTATCACTGCCCCCACCACACCACCATTGTAAAGTATGGACTCCTGCTTAGCCAAGGTGCAGCTCTAGGCAGGATCTCTGAAGGATGCTGTGGCACACGGAGGGTGGAGGTATAACTTTACCTGCACACAAGCTTACATGTGCCCTGTCATATATGGCTACACGTTTCCCCATTTCCCCACAGTCTTTCTATTTAACCTGTCTTCATTCCTTCTTTCTAGGGCTTTCCGCCTGCACACAGTCATTTGGAGAAAATCAAGTGAGTGCACCTCTCCCCACAGAGGATTCTGTATGTTATGTAACACACTCACACTGGGATTCCTCAAGTTACCATTTTGCCCCAAATGAGCCAGCACTTGGTTTTCTGGCGGGGGTGTCAGGATGATGCAAATGGAGGTGGAACCCTCATTCCCTGGGGGCTTTTATTCCCCTCCTTGAAGCCCCAGTTCAAGGCCCAGGAACAAAGGGGAAAGGTAACTGATCTCTCTTTTGGTCTTTCTCTCCCCTCACTTCCACCCCCTCACCTGCAGTCCCTCCTCTTTGATAAATAGAGGAAAGCCCTTGGGATCAGGTACATATGTAAATACTGCTGACCTTGGCCGCCCCTCCTCACTGAAAAGCAGAAAGCCCGTTTCAGGTGCAGGCTGCTCTGTGCCTCTGAGTGTCCACCACTTCTACTCCCCCAGACTGTGTGGGACTCAAGGTTGCTCACTTAACATCCCTCTCTTGTTAAAAACATTCAGGACAACTATTAAATAGTTCTTGGAAGAGTTAAAGACCTTCTTTCAGGAGGGAAACGTTTTTAAAGCCCTGCTTGGCAGAAATCTTTAAGGCGTACAAAGTCGAATCAGTAGGCTTGCCTGAGCGATTTTGAAATTTGAAAGATTTCTCCCCATGAAATGGTAATTTAAAATAGTTCGTAGATGTTGTTTTGTTCTACGATGGTTTTTTCACTATTGTCACCTAAAGATTCTCAAGACTAAGCTACTAAGACATTTCTTTTCATTTGGTCAGTTTCTGGGTGATACTATCCTTTCTGATTAGACCTATTTAATTTATTTTTTAACTCTGCAGGAGAGTATTCAACCTTGGAAATGTAAGTGAAACAGACTCACCCTCCTTCTGAGACCTTGATAGGGGCAGAAAGGAACAAATCTGGCTAGCCCCACTCACACCTCAAAGTTTCCCTGTCTAAACCTGGATACAGTGAGGGTGGTGGGTTTTGACACCGTTTATTTTATTGCTGGCTCAAGGAAAATTCTTTGAAATGAACACCTATTCTATTTCAGTGTGCAATGTTCCAGCCGACTCAATGGGCTTGCCTTATGCGGAGAGGCAGTCCTGGAGGACAGAGTTAATGGGTGGCCTCCCAGGAAGCTCATCAGAACACCTCTTGTTCCTTTTCTTTAAAAGAAAAAAAATTTTTTAAAAGTTTTTGCTTCCCTCTCAATGTTCATTCCATTATTTTGTAGCTACAATAATGAAACATGGGCAGCAGTGATCATTCTTTTTGTACTATGTAATCATGTCTAGTGCTGGGACCTTACAAAGCCCCAGACATACCTCAGGTGTATTCTGCACTTTTCATATTTATTCACTGCTCATTGGGTCACACAGATAATTCACACTTGATTCCACCTTCCTCTGGACAACTCTCCCTCCAACAACACCCCTCTATCAACTTATAGGGAAAGGGGATTCCCTTAGAGAAAACTTCTTGAATTAAAAACCAGACTCAGTTTCACCAGGTAACTGATCCTGGCCATACCGGTGACTAGGAAGTCATCACCTAACACTCTACCTAGATATAAACTCTCGGGAAGGGGCAGGCTGGTGGGCACATTTCCACAGACATTTCTAAAACTGTGGCAACTGAATACATTTTACAGATACAATTTTCGTATATTCCCATCCAGCTTAAGGCATTTAAAATGCAATTTTGTTCACATGCACTTGCGTGCACACATACACCACACGCACTTGTCAACTAGGGGGATATTACCAACCCATTTCCACTGGGCAATTCTGGTGACAGCAACTACAACTAAGAAACTTCTTTTCTGAGGAGTAAAAAAGAAAACAAAAGCCTCTCTATTTTAAAAGGTTATTTTATATTGTTTAGCATTCTTTCAAAGCAGGAATTGGCTGGACACTTCTGCTCCCTTTTCAAAGAACAGGTAAACTATTCTCCTACCCACCCCCTCCCCAAGACCCAAGCCATTTTTAAAAGCTAAAATTTCTGTTTCCAAAGGAAGAAAAAGGAACAAATTCCATTAATGAATTACATACATGGAATGTGGCTTGTCTAGGACATTTGTATTTGTAAATAAATGGCTCCCTGTTTATTATGTATGTTTTACTGCAAGAAAAAAAAAAAAGAACTCTAATGCCTCTGAGCATGTTATAATACATCAAGTATTTCCACTTATGGTTTAAGTTCCACTGTTTCTTGGTACTCACTAGAAAGAAATCGGGTTAAATGGAGTCAGTTGTGGGGTTTAAAAGTCCAGGCTGACTTGGGGACGCGGCACCTCTAAAGTTCTCCTGTTTGCCAAAGTGAGGGGGGAAGGGGAAATGGCTCCCCAGGAATCTTATGGGGATTCATCTGGGGTTTCGTCTTTGTCCCTGGATCTTTCTAAGGCTGACCACTGCCTCCGTTTGCAGCTTCAGAAGCGAAGCCGGCGTGCGATCTCCTTGGCGAGAGGACTGGGCACAGTCCCTGCCTTGCCCTGCTGCCGGAGCCCGCACACCGCGGTCTCAGGATTTCCCCGTAGGCCTAGGCCTGCAGTCCTCGGGCGGAGACGGGGCCTGGGGGAGTGACCGTCACCGGGCCAGGCACAGGCAGTCTACCCCGGTGCCTGTAGGGTGCTCGAGTATCCCACACGCAGGAAGCGGAGGCGTGGGCCAAGCGCCGGGGGCTACCCAAGAACTCCACCGCCCAGTGAGACGCGCAGGGCCTGGCGGCGCGAAACTTCCACAAAGCAGCCGGCCGCCTCCGGCCTTGCCTCCGCTCCGCAATCCCAGCTGCCTAGACCTCGGTGTCTTCCCAAACAATGAGCCCAGCCAGTGCACTAGACTGTTCCGCTCTGACTTCTTCTGCCCGCACATGGGGACCCCAGCGAAAGGTTACGGGTGGGACCAGTCTGCGCATTTCCTTCCATGCGGCGCATCCTTCGGGAAGACAAACAGAGTACGTCCCCCACATCAATTTCAGGCCCTGGTCTGTGGGCTGGGCCACAGTCCTGGAAGACCCAAGGGGTCACGGGTCCAGATCCGTCTTTACTTGGTCCTCCGCTCCAGGACTCCAGGGCCCTGGGCAGCAGAGAGGTGGATTTCAGAGAGAATCCGTGTCAGCCAGGCCTTGAACTCAGCCCCTCTGAACTCCACCGTCAGCAGCGGGGGCGGCAACTCAACTCTCCCGGGAGGAGGATGCACCCCCAGAACGGAAAATCCGCAAACGTCGTGCAGAGACCCACAAGCATTTCTACCTTTCTTTCCACAAGCCCCCCAGAAAGTTATCGCCAGAACCTCTGGGACCTGAGCCGACTCCAGCCTCCAGCAACTCCCTCAATCTTCCAAGGAAACTTTCAGAAGTTTCCCTTTCCCTGGCTCCTCAATTCCTTGGACTTTCTCCAGCCCCCAGGTTTGCTCATTACTCTGCTGACTGCCCTTTAGTCTCTAGGGTTCCCCTGGCCTGAGTGTTTCCAGAATAATAATAATAATAATTGTTATTACGAGGCTGGGGAAGAACAGGATCAGAGGGTAGGAGGGACTGAGGGAGAGAGTGGAAATGTTTATGAAAAGGTTTATTTAAACCTGTGTTTCAAAAGGGTTCAGTTGACAATTATCAGTAACCCCGATACGACAACTCCATTAAAAAAAAAAAGAATTTACTACTGCTCTTGAAAGCCGTTATTTTTTACATCGCTTTTTAGGAAGATAGATGAACAAAACATCGCGTTTCAAGCCATTTTGATCTGTAATTGAAAGGCAGGATCGGTTTGTATTCTCCTACGGCTTTTACAGAAGTTGCAGTGATCCAAAGTCGGGTTGCTGTGTCAGAGTGGCATTTTTATTAATGAGAATACAAAAAGCTTGCATATTCTTAGCCCTGCTTGAATTTAGTTGCTAAGCAACCGGTGTATGGTAATTCATCCGCGAAATTTAAATCTTTGAGAAAGGTTCGTGCGTTTTGCTGAATGGTCGCCACGAGGAAAACAACTTGTGGGACCCGCAGCAGCTGCCACAGTCTGGCCGCCCGGCCGTGCCGGGCCGAGCAGGGACCCGGCCGCCCCACCGCGACCGCCACCGCCCCACCTCCGCGCCCAGCCCTGCCCTCCCTCCCGGAGAGAAGCGAGCTTTGGACGCCCGGCTGCCTCGGGTCCCCCTCCCCCTCCGCCTCTTCTGATCCCGGGTTTTCACCGGAGGCAGGCCTTCCACCTGACCCAGTCGCCTGTACCCCTAGGGCTTCGGGGTCCAGACTGCGAATTTCCGCATTCCCCTCCGCTCACGCGCACCCACATGCACACGGCACGCGCGCGCACACACCAGCGCACACATCGTGCCGCCACGAGAATGACTGTTGCCCTCTTCCCAGACCCCTCTGAGGTCACTTCCAGAGCCAACTCTTCCTTGAGGAAGACCGGACTCATCAAGAACGCAGCCCACAGCCCGCCAGAAGGCCAGGCGGCCGCCTCTGGCCGGCAGTGACATCATAGGCTCCTGCTCGCCAAGCTCGCGCCCACATTTTAGGATACAGGAACAAACACGGATGTGAAATCAAGAATGAAAGAGAGAGTAATCTAATTAATAGGCCATGAGCCAGGCTAACAAAATCAAAGAATCTGATTACACAAGTACCCATCCTGCTATCTCCGCTGCCCCCACCCCCAGCTCCTCCAGCCTGAGCACTATTTCCTTTCCTAGGCTACAAAGTTCAGGATGCAAACGCAGAGCCCTCTGCTTTCCTTATTGAAATCAATGTCAAGCCTGCCATGGGGATCCCGCACCCAGGAGGTCACATGGGTGAACTTCAGGCCCTCAGACCAGCAGCCCTGAGGAGCTGAGATGACCAACTGACCTATAGAACTTGGAGAGCCTGAGGGGTTGCCTCACACTTCTCAAATGCATCACTCTTAACAACAGCAGCAGCAGCAACAACAACAACAACAACAACAACACCTGTGCTGATTGCTTATGCTGTTAGTAGCTGGACTAGGACAAAGGGCTTCTCCACTCACAGTCATTTTATGGATCATCTAAAGTTTTTTCTTCAGTATAGCACAACTCTTCTTTTTTCACATCACCTTGCTTCTGAGTCACCGCAAACTCCCAACTCTTATTACAACTCCCTTTCCCAACATAGATGTCTGAGCGCAGTCAGGTATTAGGATATCACTGAAACACAGCATCTGCTCTAATCGTTGCAGCCAGCCACGTGCATTTCATGAAAGAAGCAAATTCTTTCATTTCTGTCTTTCTGCCTTAAAAAAACAATCAGGTCCACCTTTTAAATAATTAATTTCAAGTCTGCATCCAGTGCCAATACTTGTTGCATCCATTTTAGAGTTGATTAATTACCCTGGAACTTGGGCAAACTACACTCCATGTGGAGAGAATGTTTCTTCCTTCAATTTAGTACTGAAAGCTACAAGTTATTAATGGATTTTACTCAATTTACATACAAATTAGTGCAAATATGCCCATCTCTTAAAGTACATTTTTGTATAAATATATAAAAGTATCATTTTTGATTTAGCTTGAAGAGGTTGATCATTTATTACAAAAATAAACGAATAAATACAACAATATATTGTTGCTTTCAACAGGATAAATACTTTACAAATATATAATTTAAAAAACAAATTTAATTGTTAAAATTATTTAAAATATTACACTTATCGATAAAACTATCAATAGTATATACTGCATTTAATATTAGAACCAATTATTCTCTGAATGTTCAAAACCATTCATACAAAACAGATTATGAGCATGGTCATGAGCAAACACTGGAGGCTACAGGGCAGCAGAGGCAATCGCTAAGATCAATAATGAACAGTTCTACCTGGAACAAAGAAGTAGTCCTTGGCTAAGTACTAAAAAAAAAAAAAAAAAAAAAAAATTCAGAGCAACAACAGCAAAGTGACTATTTTCAATACACCTTGAATGATTTATCGCACAAACTTGCCAGGGGAAAATGGTTGTGGCGGTGAGGTGACCGACGGAGGCTTGGACAACTTATCAAGAGCCACAGGAGACTGTAAACTGTAAGTGGGCCCAGCTTGGGATTAGCAAGGCTGATGGAACAGAACTTTGTCACTTTCCTTTGGGTTGGAAGGGGAGGGGGGGTTGGATTGAAATGGAGGAAACAAATGGGCGCTTTACGAAGCACAAGACACTTGCGCTGCAAAGGAACACAATGACCAAATTCATTAAAAAGATCTGGTGATATATAACAATATTTTCATTATTTACATGTGTAACAATATAAGCCTTAGCACAAAACCTCTCAGTTATATCTGCCCTCTTTTGTTTTTCAACCATGAATTTCATTTTGTAATTACATTCAAAGGGTTGATTAAAAAAATGGAGTGCAAGCATTAGCTCACTTTATAAAATGCAAATAATGAAACAAAATGGGTTTGCTTTCCTAGCTTCTCCAATTAAAAGTTACTCTGCTACCCCCAAATCAGGGATTCTTCCAAAGTAATCAGCAAAGTTTGCTTTTTAATAGAAAACAGTGTGAAATCTAATGTTAGCTCTTTTGTTGTCAGCTAAATCAAGTAAGTAGATACCTCCCAAAATTTTTTTAATAGACCCATTACTTGTCTAATCAACCACCACCATTCCCATAGGAAAAACAAGATTCCATCTCACGTGCCAGTAGTATCCACCACATAAAAACAACCTGATCAGTCCTCAGCTTTCCACGAGGACTTCTTTGCTTGCCTCTCTAGACACCCCCAAAATGGTGAACTTCTCCCCCACCCCCACTCCAGGTTGTAAATTTGCTGGGCATAGGGATTACAGCAGCAAGAGAAATAGGGAACAAGAAGGCAAAGAAAAGTAAATTGTGGTTTCTTGTCTTCATTTTTTTTCTTCTCTCTGTTTAATATATGTGGCCTTTTTCAGATTTCACAAATCAAAATGATTGTGATTTTTAGTAGGATTTGGTGTTTAAAATAATGCAACCCAATACATGGCCATCTGGCTGGGCTTGATTTATGAAAGTGACACAGGGCCTGTCTGGGAGAAATAACTGTTCCTTGCTGGTCTCACAGTTTTCTGGGTTTTTTAACCCCTGCATTGGTATCACAGGGAGAGGGAGTGAAGATGAGAGAAGGAGGAAAAAAAGTGAGTGACAGCTAAGTGAGATTGGGGGAAATTGGTCTATAAAATCATTGCTCTATCACTGCTAAATACTTTTTTTTTTTTTAAGTACAATATATAGGGACTCAACTAAGCAGAGCCTTTAGCGTCTTAAGTACTCACAACCTGAGGCATTACACTTTCATTTCCCTACATTGTAAATATTGAAACATTAACTTGATCAATGTGACCACTCTGCAGGGTTTAGGTAAAAGGTGACCTAAAAACTAAAATCCCCAGCACCAGTAAAGAAGATATAGAATCATACTGGGGAGAGACAAAAACACAGAAATATAGAACCTTAAGTCTGAGTTGGTGATTGCACAGACGATATGCAGTGTGGGCCATAATCAGGATTTTAGAACTATATTCTTTCATTACAGGGGGAAAAAAATCCCCAAAAGCTTAATAATTTAAATTTAATTACATATAGTTATTGACGGGAAGTAATTGATATCAAAATATTTTATAAGACTTATAGGCAACTCTTAACAACTATGGTCTTGAGAAAAAGAGAAAAGAGGAACATGTTGGGATGGGGGCAGGAGAAGAAAAAAGAAGCTGAACTTGGGGGGAGGGGCTGTATTAACCATTAATAACCAGTTGGCTCATTTTTACTGGTGATATCGTTCAATCTTCCGATAAGAAACACAGGTATCTCCAAGAAAAGGGTTAATATTTAGGCAATCTCACCTAAAAACACTAAAGACATCCACTAAAATTAAGGGAGAGAAAAATACTGTGAATTTATGGATTAACGAGGAGTGACTACTATGTTAAAATACTAGCTGTCTCAGCAATGCCTATGCTTTACTCTAGATTTCCAAAAGTACCTTAAGTGGAGCAGGCTCTACTTCCTCAACGCTATTACTTAAGGATTTTCATTAGTAAAAAAATATTTCTTAAAGAACTCTTTTCTTCCCACACAGTGTTTACGCATCAGACACAGACTATTTCATTCTAACAAATTTATTTTCTCGATCAGCTCTTACGGAATCACTACTCAAATTAAATTACAATCAAATGATCACATCAAAAGATACCCTTATTACCTAACAACTGTCCATATTTTCATTTCATTTTGATTTGTGCTCGTCTGAAAAAAACACGTAATACAAGATCTGGGGAAAAATAAATTACCGTTTTGCAGCAGTTCATAAGTATTCTGAATAAAATATTAAAAGAAGTCATTTAATGAAAATATAAAGCAAATATTTTTAGATCAACAACGGATCTAACAATTCTATATTGCCGTCTTTTGAAAAGTCTGTTTATTAAAACCTACCAAAAACACTGCTTGGAAATGGCAGTATTATATAATCACATCCACAGCACCCATTCAATCAAAGTTGGCAACGGATTGAGGAGAGAAGTCCAGAGAAGTGCAGCGGCTGGTGCTCAGTCTTTCTAAATTCCTTTATCTGAGTCAGTCCAGAAATAAAAAATAAAAATATTAATAAAAAAAATATTAGCGGTGGAATCTTTAGGCATCGTCCACCCTGAATGGCAGCCGTCAAAGCCTAGGTACGCGGCCGGGCCTGACTCGGCGGCCTTGCTGGCTGGGCCCCCGATCTGCTCCCAGTCCGCCCGCCCGCCCGCGACCCGACTCGGCCGGGGCCTCTCGCCACTCCTCAGCGGACGTCCCCCTCTCCCTCTGCTCCTTCCCGATGCTTTTATTTCCAAGGTTACTTTGAGGATACTTTTCTTTTGGCTTTGCTATTCAGTCTGTTAGTTTCAGAAGCTGTCAATATAATTATTTTTTTCCTGGAGACTGTTTTCTTTCCCCCTCCTTCCCATTTCAGAGTTGATTTGTTTGTTTCCAAATGACTTTAATATGGCCAAGAAAAACAGGGTCCCAGAGCACGGTGTCGTCCCCTGATGGAACCTGGTGCCTCTGTTTTCTCTCAGGTCGCTCCCAGGAAATAAAGTTTCCGTGGATCTCTTTAGGCAGCTATTTTGGGGGAAAGAAAGTGAAAGGAAAGGGGACTCTCTCTCTCTTTTTATCAAAGAGGAGAAGACGAGGCAGGTGCTGTCCACCGCTGCCGTGTAGGTCATCTCAGGGTGGTAAAACCTCACGAGTGCAGTTTTGGTGCGTCAGGCATCTTCACCCTTCTTTAAAAACAAAAACAAAAACGAAACACCACCACAGTATAAACGAGATCTCATGATCGCCCCCTTTTTCTCTTCCGGTTTTGTTTGTTATACATGTATATAAAACAGTCTGGGTGTTTATTATGCTTTTTACTTTTTGGCCCCTCCTTCCTTGCACTGCAAAAATGCCTCCTTGGTCTGTCTCTCCCGCGTTCTCTCCTCCAAGGGCGGGCATGCCTGTCTCTGGGTGGAGGGGAGGGCGGCGGATGGGCCTGGGCTGGAGCCCGGAGCGGCCCAGGTGCAGGGTCGGCGCAGCAGCAGCGGCAACGGCGGCGGCGGCGGCGGCGGCGGCGGCGGGGGCGGCGGCGGTGCTGACGGCGGCTGCGGAGGCGGCGGCGGCGGCCCTCTTCGCGCTGCGCCCTGGCTTCACTGCACGCTCGTCTGCAGCCCGTGGTGCGGCGGCGGCGTGTCGGCGCTCACGGTGCCCACCTGCGAGTAGACGTCGTCGGGCGTCTGCTGTTGGATCCCGGGCGGCGTCATGCGCTTCTCCTTTTGGCGCCGATTGCAGAACCAGACCCGCACCACCTCCTTCTCGAGCTGCAGGCTGTCGGCCAGGTTGGTGATCTCCTGCGCGGAGGGCTTGGGGCACTTGAGGAAGTGGCTCTCCAGCGCGCCCTTGACGCTCACCTCGATAGAGGTCCGCTTCTTGCGCTTGCGGCCCTGCGCCGCGATCTTGTCGATGCTTGTGGGGCTGCCGGTGCTTGAGTCCGCCTCCTCCAGCCACTTGTTCAGCAGCGGCTTGAGCTTGCACATGTTCTTGAAGCTCAGCTGCAGGGCCTCGAAGCGGCAGATGGTGGTCTGCGAGAACACGTTGCCGTAGAGCGTGCCCAGCGCCAGCCCCACGTCGGCCTGCGTGAAGCCCAGCTTGATGCGCCGTTGCTTGAACTGCTTGGCGAACTGCTCCAGGTCGTCCGACGTCGGCGTGTCCTCGTCCGAGTGCGGGTCGTGGCTGTTGAGTCCAGGCCCCGCGCCGCCGCCGCCGCCGCCGTGGTGCGGGGGTCCCTGCGCGTGGTGGGGGTGCGGCGGGTGCGGGTGCGCGTGGTGGTGGTGGTGGTGATGGTGCTCGGCCAGCTCCGGCGTGTCCCCGCGCACCAGCCCCGGGTGCACCAAGCTCTGGGCTCCACCGCCCGCGCCGCCGCCGCCGCCGCCGGGCCCTGGGGGCGCGCTCAGCATGCCGTTCACCGTGAAGCCCCCGGGCTGCGAGTAGAGCAGACTCTGCGGCGGCGGCTGCTGGCCCCCGGCCATGGACGGGAGGTGCGCGGCGGCGGCTGCTGCTGCGGCGGCGGCGGCGGCAGCGGCGGCCGCCCCCCAGCCCCCAGGGTGGCCCTGGTGTGGGGGCGGCGGCGGGGGTCCGAGGTGCGGCGGCCCGCGGTGGTGCAACGCTGTGCCCGCGTGCAGGTCGTCGCGCCCGGCGCCGCCCTTCACGTCGGGGCCCTGCGGCGGTGGTGGAGGCGGCTGCGGTGGCTGCTGGGGGCTGCCAGCCATGCCCACGGCGCTGCCCGACCACGGCGAGCTCGCCTCCACGGCGGCGGCGGCGGCAGCGGCGGCGGCGGCGGCGGCGTGGGGCAGGGCTGTGACCCACTGGTGCGCGTGGCTCAGCATATGGCCGCCGTTGCTGGCGGCCATGGCCCCCTGCATGAAGTCGCTCTGGACCATCTTGACAGAGGACGGGTCCCCCCGGTAGGCGCCCGAGGTCACGGCGGCGCTGCCCGGCTGCATGCCACCGCCCCCGCCCCCTGCGCCGCCCCCGCCGCCACCGCCGCCGCCACCCCCGCCGCCGCCAGCCCCTGCCGCGTCCGAGTGCACAATAGAGCCGGCCGCGAGCAGGCTGTTCCCCGGCAGGTAGGGGTTAGAAGCCGCCGTGGCCATGCCGCTCCGCTCCCGCCACCCCACCGCCGCCACCACCGCCGCCGCCGCAGCAGCAGCCGCGGCCGCCGCCGCCGCCGCCGCCGCCGCGCCCCCCGCCTCCCGCCTCCTCCCCCCCTCCTTCCCCGCCCCCGCCCCGGGCCCCCGCCGGCCCCGCCGCCTTCGCCGCCGCCTCCTCCGCCGCCGCCTCCGCCCCCGCCGCCGCCGCCGCCGCCGCGGTCCCCGGCTGCAGCTGCAAGGCCGCTCGGCAGGGCGCGGGGGTCGCCGGCCGGCCTTGGTCACCAGCAGCAGCAGCAGCAGCAGCCGCAGCCGCAGGAGCAGCGCTCTGGGGAGGGGGGCTCGCTTCTCGGGGTGCGCTCCGTGGCCACCCCCGTCAGGGGGGGTCGTGGCCGCCCCCCAGCCCTGGCGCGCTGGGCTCGCTCCAGCGGGGCTCTCCGGGCGGGGCGGGGACCTGCACTCGGGGCGCTCTCCCGGGACGCGCGGGTTCCCGCTCCTCCTCCTGTCCTCGGGCGAGCCCGGACTCTGCCCGGTCGCGGGGCTCCGTCCACCTGCTAAATGAAGGTTTCACGGGAGATAACAAAGAAAGAAGCTGCTCCTTTCTTCCTTAGCCAAATTACGGATGACCAGCAACCGGTCCGCTCCTTCCCTTGTGCGCTCTCTCCTCTCCTCCTCAGGAACACATTTCACTCGTTTTCCCTTAGAGTAGTAAAACTTTTTCGTCCTTGAAGGCGTGGTGCTGCTGGCTGCTCGCGAATGCGGAGAGGGGAGGCTGGCTCCTGCTCTCCCCCTCTGGTCCTCTCGTTTCAAGTTTTGTTCTGTCCTAGGAAAACTTCTTGCGATGGTGCATTTCTCTGAAGTTGCTATTGCCCGAGCTCTTGGTTGCCTCTGAAACAAGAGTCCTTTTTCATTCTCCTCGCAACAGTCACAGTCTGATGCGACATCTTTCCTTTTGGGCAGAAATTAGGAAACAAATATAACAAGGAAAAAATTGAACAGGAAAAAAATGATGTCGAATCGCTCTGTTACCTTGTTGCTGACGGTTGGGGTTGGTGTTTTATTTTTTTCCCAGCAGTTGTCTGGAGAAGGAGGAGGAAGAAGAGTGCATTGGTGGAGGTGGAGGTGTGTGTGTGCATATAGGGGATCGATCCTTGATACACAACAACTCCAGTGGGCACGTTGCACTGCTCGTAGAGTGCACCGACGGCGGGCGCTGGCGCTGGCCGTGCTGGAGCAGAGTTGCAGCAGGAGCTCGCTCTGTGCCCTCGTTCGCGCTCTCTTTCCCTCTCTCACTTTCCCTCTCCCTCCCTCTCTCTCTCTCCCTCTCTCGGGCGCCCGCTCTCGCTCCGATCTGACAGTTCGCTCTCTGTCCCTCCCTCTCAGAGCGGGGACTGTCGAATGTTTACCCTCCGCCGCGAGCGCGCACCCACCACCACACTTTCCCAAATACAAGGAAGTCGAGCACCAGGGCCCCCGCTGATTGGCTACCCGCTGGGTGATTGGCAGGCGCGGAATGACGGGCTCAGGACGCGAGGCCCCCCTTCCGGCCGTTCCGATTGGTTGCTTTTTAATTTAGGCAGAGCGTCGTAGAAGCTGGAAATCTGTGGTCCCCCAGCCTCCCTCCCCCTCGCCACTTTCCCCTCCCCGCCCCTCCCCCGCCGCCCCCTCCGCCACATCTTAACTCTTAGTGTCCGGCCCAGACGTTGGCGTTCCCTCGGCGGCTCTGGGTGTTCGCAATTGGTCTGGGCGGGAGGAAGAAAGGGGAGATAAAAGAGAGGGAGGGACAGGAGAGGGGAAGAGAATCAGAAGGAAAACGAAGAGGGAAACATGAAAAATAGCAACCTGCCCACCCCACCTAGTACGCGTCGGGTTGCTCACCCCCTTACCCCCGCCCCGCCAGAGATTTGTAAAGCGCGCGGCACGGATGTACCATTCAAGCTAATACCTATAGACAGATGTGTCCCCAGTGGTTTCAAAGTTTCCTCTTCCCTTCACCAGCCGGCCCCCATCTCTGATCGGCGGGGGTGGGAAGCGGGGGCTCGCATCGCCAAGAGCTCGGGTCGTGGCCGCGCTCCTTGGAAATCCGCCACCGCAACTTTCCGCAGCCGCTGCGCGCCGGCGGCGGCCCCCTTTGTTTAAGTTCTCGGATGCCATCATCTGGGAAACCTGCAGCCCAGGACCAGCGCGGTGCCCGCGCGTGCGAGACGGACCGCTCGCTGCTGCCGCTTGCTCGCTCCTCCACCCCCTCTCTCCCTCCTTCGCTCTCCCTCCCTTCCTCCCTCCTCCCTCCTCTGGGATTCGTGCAAGTAGCGTGCGTGCCCTTGTGAGTTTGGAGGGTGCCGGTCAGCGGAGCCGTGTGATGTATTTGAAAAGCAATCAGTCCGACCTTCCCCCATAGATTCATCGTAAGTGTATTCGACCCCGATGGCTTTAGGAATTCCCGCGGCAGCAGAAGCCGGGCGAAAGAACCGGAATCGGCTAGCCGCGCCCTTCTCTGCTCCACCGCTTCCTCGTGTGTGTGTGTGTGTGTGTGTGTGTGTGTGTGTGTGTGTATGTGAGAGTGTGTGTTATTAGCGGTGGGGGGTTTGCCCGCTCTCTATTCTTAGGCATGGTGGTGCTTTTTTTTTTCTTTCCTTTCTGTCTCAGATGGATTTGCGTGGTGGATGGGGCTGGCGGCGACAAACGCTTTCTTAGCTCCAACCCAGCTGAAAGAGTTAAGGGGGACGGGAGGGGGAGTGCACCCGGTGGGCGAGAGAAGCGGGGGTGGGGTGGGGTGGGGTGGGGGGACGCGGCCAAGCGGAAACGTTGCACAGAGGAACCTCAGCGAACCAAGAAAAAAGAGAAAGTGGCAACGAAAACAAGGGCAAATTGAACCCTCCTCGGGGATTTCCAATGAACTAACCCAACTCGGACATTCAATAAATACATGGCTCTTAATGAGCGTGCGTGTGCGTGCACCCCGCACCCCTAGCTGCGGGTGCGCTCGCCTTGCGCCCGCCGCCCCGAGCCAGCTCCTGCATCTGGCAGTCCCGAGCCAGAGCGGCGGCCCAGAACGCAGACGAGGAGCGGCCGCCGGTGCGCTCCGATTAAAATGTGAACGGGCCTGCCCTTCTCTCCCGCTGTATCGTGCCTCTGCCGAGCGCAGTTAAGTGAACTCAGTGAAAGCAGGAGTTCTCCTGCCCAGCCTCAGCCAGGCAGCCCCTGCGTGATCTCAAGATTAACACTAGACGCGTAGAATTTATGTAGGCTCTCGTCCAGCTCCTGCTTGCCGGGTGAGATACCGTCGTAGGTAGGTTTTAGCAAAGCCATTATTGCCAAGGTATAGATACCAAAGGCGGTGGTAACCAAACCCCAAACAGAACGGATTTTTTTTCCTCTGCGTCCCCCAAAGGTTGCTTTTTATATTTATGTATGCGTATATGTATATATAAAAGATGGAACACAGATTTCATTGAATAAATCTGAGATCTCCAGGTGCAGACGTTTGAATAGTCGGTGCCAGCACCCCATGTTTTCCTTTCCTGCCGATTTTGCTTGGATCCGGCTCAAAAACCAAGAGAGTCTCGTGGTTTTGTTTACACTGAATGGGGAGGATAGGAACAGAGCCATGGGGCCGCCTTTCATTAATATACAGTGAGGATTTTGTCTAAATTACTGCTATGAATTTCACAGTACACGCTTTCAAAAGCAGTCTCAGGTGGCCTGATGAAACGTGATAGCGCCTCTGCAAACAGATCCACTTTCTTTCTTTTCAAGGAGGGTGTGTGTGCGGGTATGGGAAGCCCCCCAAAACGTTGTGCTCCTCGATAACAGAAATACACTTCTGTTCTGAGGTCTGTCCCCTTCTTCCTCCCCCCTTTCGTCGTACTTAATTCTCGAATCGCTCCCCAGCCTCTCTCCCCCCTCCACGCTGCCCCACCCCATCCGCCCCCTCCCTTTGCGAGTGTGATTGTTTTGTCTGGAAAAAAAAAATCCAAAGTATATAACAAGGGGAGAACAGTTAGTGCTGATTTTCATTTGCATACATTTTCATATATTTTGGTGAAAATAATAGACTAGTGGAGAGCTGGGCTTCGAGGCGTCAGTGTGAAGGGAAGGCTAAGGACGCATCGGTGCTGGAGAGTTGAGAATGCCTTCCCCTCCACTCCCAACCCAGTCACCTTATTTGAAAAAAAAATTTAAAAACACATTTTATTTAAAAACCTAACCCTGGAAGTTTGCTCGGTAAGTGTTTTTTCATTTTCTTTCCCTGCTTTCTCTTCTTTCCCCCCTCCTTTTTGGCTTATTTATTTATGTTCTTGTAGGTTTGGGAGCTTATTTTCATTGCTTGGGACAAGAGAGGGTTCACAGAGCAACTGTTTGAAGGAAGGAAGGAAGGAAGGGAAGATATGTTGGGGGGGAGTTAAAAAAATCCAACCCTGCTAAAATATTACATAAAAAGATGGACTCAGTCCAAAGCCCCACACAGCAAAAGCCACTTTACTTTGGAGGGGTGGGGGGGAAATGCTATTCATTGTAATTGTTGATCGTGAAGGTGGGGTGCGGGTTGGGGGGGGGAAGAAACCTTGGAAAAGAAGTGATTATTAAGCATGCAGTATATAAATATTTCTTGATTGGGATTTTTTTTTTCCCCCAGAGAATCAGGACTAGAGGGGAAGAAACCCTATTTCTGTAGCCAGTGGTGATGTCCTGAATTCTGTGTGCCTGCCTGGATTGGGGTGGGGGGACTCATGCTGGGAGCAGGAGGATGGAGTGAGGAGGGGGACTTGGCAAAGGGAAGGCAGAGAACTGGAGGAGGAGGAAGCGAGGCAGGAAGTCAGGGCACCCCTGGTTAATGCTGTGTCTGGGGAGCAGGCGGGGAGCTGCAGCCTCCCAGCTCGGTAGTGAAAGCCCATCAGAAAGAGGGTGATCAATCAAAACTAACCAGGACATCCCTACACTTCATTCCCAACGGAGGCTGGAGCTTTAGCATCGCAGACTCGATTTCACTTTGTTTTCTATTTTTGACAGCCTCACTTGTCCCCTCCTTGCCACTGTTCCTGGGTTTTGTAAAAATTGAGGGTGCAGTTAATTAGATAAACATGGCCGGAGGACATAGCTAGGCCAAGTCCAGGCCCATTTGAGTGCCTTACCTTAGTGAAATAGGCCGGAGAAAATTTTAAAATCTTCTTGGTTTTGTTCTTTTAAAGGAAGCTGCGTCTGTGATGATGAGGGGGGACAATCCAATGGCTGGAATTTTATTGCGCTTTTTTACACAGAACACCTTGCAATTTAGAATTGGTAATTTATTTGGAAACAGTTGATGCCGAATCAATGAAACGGTTTGTAACGAGGGAGGAAGAGGTTTCAGTTGGGGAGGGGGCTAAGAATCGCCAGTTTTCCACTCCTTGTTTACGTGCTTGGCAGCGTTGCTTTTGACTGGGGTTAACTCTGTGTGCTCCATTGGACCAGATGCCATATAGAGCTGCTCCCTGAAGATCATTTGTTTCCTTGATGGGGAACATTTCTGAGCAGAGCATATTGGTTGCCATAGAGAAAGAAATAAAAGGAAGAACACTAGTCACATTAAGCTATATGTTTGTGCACTGGGCTTTAGATAAAAGGACCTTGGTTCAGCCAAAGAGAAGAAGCCAAACTAGAGATTTCTAGTGCCACTAAAACTAGCTTTATTTTGTTTTGGACTTTTACAGTTGAAACATATAAGCTAATTTTATTGGCTGTTGTTAATTTTATATGACACGGTTTACTGAACAAAATAAACTTTGCTCAGGAGTCGCACTATTGGCTCGTCAGCAGGGGGCGCACTGACTCATCTTAGCGAGTACTGAGTAAAATGTAGCTGTTTCAAAAGCAAATCTGCTCTTCCAAACTTGCCAAAGGAACAAATACCCCTACCTTTCTATGCATATTCACAATGAGGAGGGAATTCATTGCATAACACAGGGTTTTAAAATATGAGGACAATGACTTCCCCATCCCCCACCTGCCCACGTCTGTGAAATGGCCCAGAAAGAAATACAGTTCAAAAACTATTCCTCCATTTCAGTGAAGTGTATTCTGGGCTGGAAAACAGAAATGAGATGTGAAGGCAAGAATAGTTTTTGAAAATTATTATTAAGGGGATTTAATAGGCTACTCTTAAGAAG